GAGGCAGGGGCAGCCGGCGGCCGCGCCGTGCCGGGAGGCCCCTCGGTGCTGCAGGACAGCCTTCGGTAGCGCCGTCCTCTTCCCAGACCTGTTTCGAAGTAGCTGAGAACTTAACTAATTTTGCGTGTAGTTATCAATCACTGCCAGCAGTATCTGCTCACGGTCGCAAAAAGCCTTAAGCATCAGTTGTCACGTTTTCGGAGGGTGTGCTTTTCTGTCGTTCTGTTCCCCTTTCCCTATCTCTGATGCAGCTGTCGTACCCATACTTTTTAATGGCAAGTCGTTTGCATTAAATAATGCCATTTCAGTTCTAACACTTTACTTGCTTGCTGTGTTAATTTACTTGTTGCGTTGTGCTTGAGAATCATTGTTTCTGTGATGCTCACTGTGGTGCGCGATTGTCTTAATGCCATGTTAGTGAGACTTTTAACACCTCAATAGTGAGGAAAGCAACTGTAGTAATACAGGTTTCCTTCACAGTTCAGTCAGATTGCAAAACGTGCAATATTACTGTCCATTGCTGTTTCTCTGAAGTCATGGTCTCTACAGGTCCTGCGGTATTTCTTAGCTGAAATTGTGAAACCAAAGTTTTTAAACATCTTTTTAATGAAGAGTCAGTAGAGGATGTGCTGATATGTAGCTGTCTTATATGTCCACTCACAAATTGTATTAAAATAATGAGAAGAAGAGACACGTGTACTTGAAGGAGTGTTCTTCACTGGTGTTTGGAGCTTGCAAGGTGAAACTTCAGATTCAGTGGAAGGCTGAATTGAGTAGTATTTTGCTCATACAAAGCTCTTGCTCGGGACATCTACTTATGGTTAACTTGGTGAACAGGACTGTAGTTGCCAAACTGGGTCTTTAGCTGCTTGTCATTGTTAACTCTTCTAAAGTATATAACATTATGCATGTTGGGACAGGCTTACTTAAATTGCAAGAAACAGTGCAGGGAAGAGAAGGTTGTGTAATTTAGAGCATAGTGTGCTGATATCAGTTAACCAGGAACACTGAAAGAATCTAATCTGGTAACAGACCTGAGTGGATGCAGCCAAATGGCAGGTTGCTTTTTAGCTGGAGATTACCAAGACTGTCAGAAATGTTTGATAGCCTGCTGTGCATGAAATCTTGCATTCACATGTGATTATTAGCAGGAGACTAACATGGTGGGAGGGAAGTGTCAGACAGCTGGGTTTTGAAAACACTGGTTTGAGTTGAAGACTATAAATGTGTACCACGGGGCTCTACAAGCAGTTTAAGTTTAGGCATGTCACTAGTAATCCTGGGCATAGGTAGGCAAAAATGGAATGACAGTGGAAGAATACTTCCTTTCTGTAGTTCTTGGGTTACAATTTGCTTGCAGAGTGATCTCTTGATCTGGATGATAAGCTCTAAAGGCAGGGGATTGCTTACTAAACCATGATACAGGAGGCTTTCAGCCTACTTTAGCTATGTTCAGAAAAGAATATTTTTTCAGTGTGTCTGTATTTCCTGAATGTTTTACTTTGTGAGCTGTGACTGTCATTGAATCCATGCTGTCTTGCCTGTGGGATGGCTGATAAAACTGTGTAGCTGCTTGTATAATAGTGAATACTTGCAGCACATCATTGTGGTAAGTTTTTGATAGAACCTGTGGTTTTGTTCACTGCTTACAGAAGTTCAGCTTAATTTGAATAACTGTTTTCTAAATAACCATAGCAGGGATAAATAAGCAAGCCGCATGCCAAGAGTTACACTATGTGTTGCTTTAGCTATCTTATAATAAATATTTTCAGGTGACTTGTAATTGCCTCCTAATTCCTTTGCACTTCTCAATGCTTTGACTTACTGATGAATAACACTGTAGGAGGGAGTTGTGAGTAGGGTGTATGTGATCTGAACATTTTTGGTGTCCAGCAAGTTTTGTTTCCCTAAGCAAGTGGATAGGACTAATTTAAGAGAAAGATTTAACTAACAGTACAGCAATTGTACCTTCTTGTTTTTCATTGAGAGCCAAAGCATGCCCACTAAGTTGATAATTCAAGTCCTGGAAAAATATTATCATTTTAATCAAGGTTGCTGGCAGTTGGCATTTTGCTGTTGTTGAGATTTCCTTCTTCCCCCTGCTGTGCCCCCTTCCCCAATTTCCTTATCTGGAAAAATCACTAGCAGCAATGAGTCTGTGAATGTCAATTTATTGATGCTTATCTGTGTACCCAAAAATACAGTTTCTGAGGTTGTTTTTTGAGGTTCTCTTGTTAGACACGACATTATCTATGACCTTTCCAAATTGTCGACCACTTGTTCAGAAACACATTTTACTCTAAAGGAGTGTAAAAAACCTAACTTTACATAATACATGTACTGAGAAGTTGATTCACCACTATGTTGTCTGAGTAGAGATCTGTGGGTAGGATCCATTCTGCTTCCATTTTGTCCTTCTGTTTTTTTTCCTGGTAGAGATGTGGGACCTGTAGAGGTTGGGTCAAAAACTGCTGCTGTAAAAGCTGAAAGTCACTGTGTGGACCAAGCTCAATGCAAATGAAGAGTTGCTGCGGGCAGAATTAAGTGGTGGGCTTGAAGGCATGACACTGCCGGCTACATCATGCACAGCAGCATTTTGCTGTGCCCACCCACGTAGCGTGATAAGGGGATTCTGGAATTGGATTTTGGTCCTGCCATCACTGAACTATCCCGGCATACCGTTTTCTACCTTGAAGGATGCAAGTGTGCACAATTATTTTCCCTTCAAATTTTAGTGAAACTGTCTATTTCTTTGTAATTTTCCTGTTCTGTTATGGTGGGATTTGATTGAGAGGCATTGCTTGAGGTATGTTCTGATGTGCAAAACTGGGTATTAGCACAGGTGAATGCTGCATCTTTTTTCTAACAAAACTTGTCTGTCCGATATATGTAGTTCACCTTTACTAAATTAACCAGAGAGCAGGTAGCAGCTATTCCTTCTTATTCCTTTGAACATTCTCTGTTTCGTAGCGTTTCCTTAGTTTTCCCAATTTCACATCGTGCTTTCCTTTCACATTTTGTTTTCCTTCCTAGATGCTGTATTGGATTTCTTGTTGTTATTGTTGTGTCATTCCTGTGCTGGATGGCCTGAAAACTCAGCTTCCTCTGATTGCTTCTCATGTTTGCTATTGTTTGCAACTTCTCGCTTCTGAACGTAAAGTTAATAAAGAAGTTGGAATCACTCGTTTCTGTGGTGAAGTTGTCCTTTAACTTCTGTCTAGCCACTGTTAAAATTTGTTGATGACTTTTATATACCTTTTTTTTTTGTTTAGGAACGGTTTCTAACTGGACCAAAATTCCGTCACCACTTTTCAAAAAAGTTGTCATTGTGCTCATAGATGCTTTGAGAGATGACTTTGTGTTTGGATCCAAAGGTAAACAGTTCATGCCGTATACTACACAAGTTGTTGAAAAAGGGACATCCTACAGTTTCATTGCTGAAGTGAAGCCACCCACTGTGACTATGCCTCGAATTAAGGTAAGTGTTTTTTCTCTACTTAGGGTTGTTTCATTTGAGGAAGTTTTGAAAGCTGGGTTGTTTGATATGCTCGGAGGTGGCGTAAAGGCCAGGTTTGCTGTGTTATTGCAATTTGTGGCTGAAACTCGCTTTGCTGTAGTGGTGCATGTGATAGAGTCCTGATTTGCTATGGCCCAGAGATGCTTCCTGCAGGAAAGTTCAGGTCAGGGATCGAAGGAAAGTAGAGAGGCTGAGTAGAGGAAGATGTGGCAGCTTCCACTTAAGCCACTTTTCCTTGTTTTGTTCCTTTATTTGGTAGCTTTGTGGTGGGAAGGTCTGTGAGAGTCAGTTAAGGGCAGTTAAGGCCCTAGTGCAGGCTTAAATGATTGAAATAATCTTTTAATTTGTAATCATGGGAATGCAGTAGCCTCTCAGTTGTCAAATTTTCCAGTTGTCTTCTATCCAAGAACATTTTTGTTGGGATTTCTCTGTGTTCTTGTAACTTCTGATAGGAAATCCAGTTTAGTGTAAATTCGTTTTGTCATAGGGATGTGTTTGCAGAGCTTAAAAAGAAAATTGTGCCAAGTTCCAGGTAACTAAAAGACGAATTGTCGCTGTCTCATCAAAATACTTGATCATCCAGGATTCTTAGTGATGGATCGGAGTGACATTTCTTGCATTGAGGGAGCTGAGAGAGCGAGCTTTGGTAGATCAGCTAGAAGGCCAGTGAGAGAGTGAGGGGGAGACAGTCTGGTAACTTGATAGGTGGACTTCATTGCATTTTCTAGAAGATTCTTAAGTACTATTTTGAATGTGCTACCGTTGTTGTTGTTGTGTTAAGTCAGTTTACTTAGGCCTTCTAAATCATCTTTTTGGTGTTTTAATGACTAGTAAATGAAGCAAATTTCAACGGGCATACAAAGTCGTTTTGCTGTCTACTAATTAAGAAAATATTATTTAACCCTTCTGTAAAGCAGTTATTGTCTCAGACATCAGCTAGCACTCTGTTGTGTCAGGTGATGCGATGTGGCATGGCAGCTCATATGCTCTTTTACTTTATTATGTTTCTTTATTGAAAGTATATTTTCTCTGCCCTCTGCTTCATTGCTTCCTCTTAAATTAATATTGCCTTCTGAGTACTGGAAACTTTTTGGTTTCTGTTAATATGTCTCCTTTCTTTTTATGTAGGCTTTGATGACGGGTAGCATACCTGGTTTCATTGATGTTATTGTGAACCTCAATTCTCCAGCTCTGTTGGATGACAATCTGATATGGCAGGCAAAAACAGCTGGGAAAAGAATAATCTTTTATGGTGATGATACTTGGGTTAAATTGTTTCCAAAGCATTTTGTGGAATATGACGGAACAACATCCTTTTTTGTGTCAGACTTCACAGAGGTAAGAGGCTTTGTATAATCCCAGGTTAAAAAATGTGAGTACAAACACATAGTGGCAACGTCTAAGAATGAATGAGTAAAGCTATCCTTGTTCTGAAACACAAACCTGGCAATTAAATAGAAATTACACTTATATGTGTTTTCAGTATTGGCAATGTGAAGCTAAGCGTTTCAGTCCCTCATGCATATGCTGTGGGAACTGTTTGGATGATACAGTAACAAACTGTGTTACTCTATAACTTTTCTAAACATATGATATTCTCACAAAACTTGTGGTAGGAAGTCAAACCACTTGCTTTGTTTAAAAATTCCACTACCCATGTTTCCAGTTTGCTGTCACATTTATATTATAGTGTGTGCCATCTGTAAAAGGCCCATTAATATATAATCTTGGTCTCTTAGAAGCATACTTTTCATACTATTATATTGCTTTTGTACAAGCAACATGAGCAGTGTTTCAGTATGTTATCGAAGAGGGAGCATAGAAAGTAAATGAAACAAATTGTGAAAATTTTTATTCTAGCCACACTAAAAGAGTAAATAGTTCAGCAATTTCAGTTCGTATTTTGAACCGTTATGATTTGTAAAACCTCAGGCCATTGACCTGCTGCTAGTGACAAAAGTATTTTATTATCATGTTTAGGGAAGTTAGGTAGTTTAACACGTGAATTAGAGTAACCAGTTAAAAGTGTCTTCCAATAAGACTTGCAGAAGCTTCAACATGGAGTGGAAAAATGCAAACATGCTGCTGGGTCCGCTCTTTATGTGGTCTTTATGCTTTCTGAATATAGTCCATTAAACAGAAAACTTTTTATAGTTGTTTAGATAGTTATATCCAGAGTCAACAAAGTGGTGTTGCATATGAAATTTTGTAGACTTTTAATATCCAGAGAGAAATATATGCAACTAAAACCACGTAGTGAACCTAAGCAGGAGAACATGCGAGTTAGGCCCCAAATTGCACTTTTCAAATATTTTTTCTTTCTTGCTATGTTGTCAGTTCTTTTTCTCACAGCAAGTAGAATCTTTTTGTGTTTGCACAGTAGCAAAAATTGAGTTGAAAGAGCAGGAGTGGGTTTTTCTCCTGTGCTTCCAAGCACCAAAGAGAGGCTTTTCCGTGTACCTACTTCTTGTGCAGTGATAAATCAGGAGTGTGAAGGATGAAAGTGGCTGAAAATTTCTTGAAACAGTTCTTAAAAGTATTTGTGGAAGCATGGCAACTAATTTTCTCTGTTTGTGTGTAATCTGGTGTCTCATAACCAGAAAAGAGTGAAATGGGGTGAAGAATCTGTTTTTTAAGACAGATTTTTGGACTGCCTGGCATTGAACTAACCCATCTGATTTTTTTTTTCTTTTTTTTTTTTCCTTGTTAACATTGTGCGTGACTGTAATTCTCATCAGCTTCTACAGAATTTTCATGTGTAGTGCATCTAATTTTTCTATGCTTTTTACAAGAGAGAAATTATTTTTACCTTTTATTTGTTTTCCTTTTATTTTTGAGGTTGATGATAATGTTACCAGGCATTTGGATAGAGTGTTAAAGAGAGAAGACTGGGATCTCCTAATACTACATTACCTGGGGTTGGACCATATTGGACATGTGACTGGGCCAAACAGCCCATTAGTGGGACCAAAACTTCGTGAAATGGATAACATCCTAAAGAAGATTCATATTTCTCTTCTTTCGAAGGTCATATAGCTCCTTGGATCAATGTCTGTTAGTTGTGGACTAACTTTAAAATGCTTGCTTGTTTGTGGGTGGTAGCTTGTTTATTCCTAGACCAAAGTGGGTATTCTGTTCTTTTCCTTCCCTGACTGTTCCCCAGTTAATAGTATAGTGTAGCATTTTTAAGGATTTACTGGCTGGCTTTAGTAACATCTGTTAATGGACTCTTCTGAACAGCTGTGGGAAATAAGTCCCCCTTGGTGTGCAGGAAGAGGAGAGGAATGCATGCCAAAATTTTCTTATCACTCATGAATTAAAATGGTGGTTGGTGTGCTTTCTGGTAATAAAATTCAGCGGAAGGAATAATGGGCAAGTATAGCTAATGGCTCTGATTTCTATAATTGTGAAGGCACACCTAATTCTTAGATATTGAAAAGATTCAAATGGAAATGGTGGTTGTAAACAGCATTTTTGTTATGCTAAAAGTAGCACATAAATTGCCAAATCTGAATCTGTTTTTAGATTTGGAAATATAGGATGTCACTTATCTAAATAGTCTGGATGTTGAAGTACCAACTCCTAATTCTAAGTGGCCTGAAGCTTTTTTCTTTTTTTTTTTTTTTTGGGAACTGCAATTGAGAATAGCTGCTGATAAAATTTCAATAGTATTTTTAGACAAATGGATACTATTATATGAAAAAAGAGGTTAAATCCTGCTTGTGGAAGTTACAATCTCATGAACGTTGCAGTGGTTTTGCTGCAGTTTGTTAGTATGTTTTGCTTTTGGCAACTGTATGCAAGCCTTTATCTCAGTTTTAGAATACAGAAATAATAAAAGCACTTCACTGGTACCTGTTGTATCCAAAAGTAATCACTAGAGATGACAAAAAGCTGCTTTGTTATGGAATGACAATATTTATTTTCTGCCATCTTTGATTTGCTAGCTCAAAATTGTTGGACAGGCCTCACTTATGCTTATGTTTCTCTTTCTTCAGAAAAGTAAACATCATTTGACATCAGTCATGGCAGATTTCTACCCCAAAAGCAGTTGAGAGACTAGAGACTATTAGAAATAGGATTATCTTTTTATACTAAATTTCTATTTTATTAATATGTACAATATTAATAATTTAGCATTTATATTATATTAAAAACTTAATGAAGCTGAAGAAATGGAGGTGGGGAATACTTCTCTGTTAATGCTGCTGCTCCTGGACTCCTGATTTTCTTCCTACAGTATGGTGACCTTTATTTAATCCTTTGGTCAGTGGTGACTGTAAATGAGGGGGTTTTTTAATGTTTTTTTGCGGGTTTTTTTGTAAAATACTGACAAGTATGTTAGATACATATGTGTGCCTTAACTGCTAAAAATTAATATTATTGCGTAACACTTAGTTGCAGACATCTCTTGCAATCTGCCCCAGGTGTAGTGAGCCAATTTAAAAAATGGAATTTATTTTGAGAAATATTGATGTGTGAAGATGATAAAGATAGTAAAGCATTATATATACGCATCTTGTTTGTACAGTAACTTACATTTATTCCTGTGACTTGCAGGAAGAAGCTTCTCTGCCCAATTTGCTAGTTGTCTGTGGGGATCATGGGATGTCTGAAACAGGTAGTCATGGTGGTTCTTCAGAAGGAGAAGTGCACACACCACTGCTATTTATCAGCTCCGCTTTTGAAAAGAGAAGTGGTAAGGATCAAAGAAGCTTGACCTTTTTTAGAACACGTTGCCATCTCTAATTTATATTACCCCTAGAATTCTTCCTGAAAAGTGCTTTGGTTTGTTTTACAGATATTTGGCAAGGCCCATTCTGTGTGACTTAAAACTCTGGTTTTAGCCAGAGTTTGCATCGTCGTGGTGAAACCATGACTTAAGCTTTGTCACCACTGCGTATTTCTCACATGATAACCTTTTGCAGTACTGTCCTACTTGAGTGTTGAGAGCTAATGAGAGCTGTTGTCAGGATTCTGGGATACTGGTAAATGGATAGGATTAGAAGTAAAATCCTATTTGAAGTGAGTTTTAAGTTTTGTGTTTCTTGGCCAGAATATTTCCCTGGCCTCCATTCTTGCCCCTCAGACAGCCAGGATAGAACAATGAATGACAGTTTCTCATGCTGAGAGTAACAGGAAAGAGGAAGAATTGCTCTTGTGAAATGATGAAAGACGACAGCAGTGAAAACATCACTATTGATTGCTGAGTGTTAAGGAAAGAGTATGACCCATGAGTGTATTTACTGTGTTGGCCAGGCAGGTGATTTTAAATCATTGATGTGAGGTTTATCTGTTTCTAAAACTCATTTTCTAATTGTATAGTATAGCTTAAGGTAAGAGGGAAGAAGGGAATGGTGTGGTAGAGAATCTTTAGTCTAATTTCTAGAGTCTTGCTTAAATAAACTCCTTGACTGAATGAATCATTGAGATGTAGTTATACCAGGAGTGAGTATTTTCTTCAAAATAATACATCCCTTTGCCTTTCATTCTGCCTCTTGCTCATTTCCATCTGATTTGCTTGCTTTTAAAGCCTGTTTGCAGAACCTTGCCTTGTTTATCTTGCTGGAGGTTCCTGCAGCACAGTTATCTGTCATTTATCTGTCTGTCATTTATAAAGCTGTTATCCAGCTGCAATAGAAAGCATTGCTTGAGGAATCACTGAACTCTTTTTAGATATAAAACCAAAACAAAGTCAAGAGCTGACCAAAGCTCTCAGGTAAGTTTTTGCTATATAAATTTCACTGATATGTGTTGACAACCAGGCCACATGAGTGTAGATTCTGTAAATGATTGCATCCCAGAACTAATCTTGTTCATTGGGATTAGTTTCTGTTAGGTTTAAACTGAATGTGCAGTTTTTACAATACAGTGAAATATATCTATTCACCTATGTTTTGGGATCGAGTTTGTGATTTCTAATGATGCCCATGTAAATATCCAGCAGCTTGCTTCTCATTGCTACAGGAATCAGAATTCTAGTGACTTCTCCTTATGATCCTACTGTAAACAAAATGTGCTGTGGTTAATTTAGTCGACCTCAAAATAGTAATCCTGTGGGCTTTTGCATTTAGTCAGAATATTACTTGTGTAGCCTTCTACAGAGATGTGTCACTCATGATGGGCTAAATGCATTTGATAGTTTGGCTTTTTTTTAGCCAGTTAAGAACTTGCCTTTAAAGATGAAATCTGAAAACTGCTGACATAGAGGCAGTCATGCAAAGAGGCTTTAGGGATTATAGATGGTGTTCTGTACAAGTATGGGATTAATCAGAGCTAGGTGAGAAATAAGAGAAGTTCTACTGCTCTTAAAGGGACCCTTGAGAGTAATAAACACTATATATAGAATTCTTTCTGTACTGTACTTAAGTCAAAACACTCAATGCCTGGAGTTACAAAGAGAACAAAATAAAAGCATAATAGAAAAACACTGTTATGTAACTAGTAAAGCACACAAAGAAACAATTGGGAAGACAATCTTAAAGAAAAGCTTACTTATGTTATTGAAATCGTTCATGCATATAGATGTGTGTGGGACTGAAGGCTAATCCCAATACCTGCAGTAAGGTAATGGGAACACAGAACCCTTTAAAAATCACTGAGTTTTCCTGCCATGGATTTGGGCCTCAACATTATTACCTGACCTTTAATTCTGTTTGCCTAGCAACCTGATATTAATTAAATCTTGTGCTGTTGTCATTGTATCAAGAAGCTTCTCGAATGCTGTCAGCATTATTCTCATTCTTCGTTCATGCATTAAATTAGTCTACAGTAGTGCTTTCTATTCCTTCTAATGTAAAAGTTATCAGACCCTCTTAGAATGTAGGCTGCAACTTGATATTAAGGTGATCTCTTGGCCCATCTCTTTTCTTACTTGTACTTGCATAACATTCATGTTGTATTTACAGTAGTTGCTAGCATTGAAGAGCGATACTTGCTGAGAATTGAATAAATTTTGGTTTTGCAACAGCAGGGGACAGCAGCTGAAAAAGATCACTCGGCCCTCTGTAGATCACTTGAAATAGCTGACCTAACACCAATGAAAAAAATTTGAAACTCACAAGATCAAGATGCCAGCTGTCTCTGGAGAAATAGAATGGGCCTGTTACTGAAATATGTTTTTTCCTCTCTCTCCCCGCCCCCTCCTTTTTTTATTGATTATAGGTCCTCTAGCCCAACCTGAACTTGTGCAACAAACTGATTTAGCTAGCACACTGGCAGTAGGTCTTGGTCTACCAATTTCAAGAAACAGTGTTGGGAACCTTATATTGCCAGTTGTGGGAGGCAAGACAATGAGAGAACAACTACGTTTTGTGCACTTGAATGGGTTCCAGCTTAGCAAACTGCTGCAAGAGAATACACCTGCGTATGAAAAAGGTAAATTAGAAAAAAAAAAAAAAAAGTTACACATACAAAAGGAGTTTGTTTATAACACAGTTTGGGCTTTTAGGTTCAAGAGTATAGCATGGCACTGCTATATATAGCATGGCACACAAAATTAGCCATTCAGTTGAAAGAAGTGTTCAGAGAAATGATGAGGCACACTGCCTCAGAATAAAGTTTTTTTTTTTAATGACCAGTACTGCTCCTAGTAGGCAAAAGAGCAGAAATAATGATGAAAGAGTAAGATTAAAGTAAAACCTCAGTGGTTTCATGTCTGCTATTTGTGAGGTATCCTACATAGGACACAGATTCTGTGCTATTTGGAGGAATAGCACAATGGAGTGAATTTTCTAGTTTAAATAAAAAGATGCTTCAAGTAAAGCCGGGAAATAGTTTAAGTGAAGTTATCTTTTTATTTCATGGTTATGTATGAATTTACTTGGAGTGAGAACCTAGAGAACTGCAAAATTTTATATTAAAAATACACATAGGTGTGCACATATATGTGTGTGTGTATTTGGAGGAAAGAAAAAACAAGTGGAAAAAATAACCAAAACCTAGCAAAATGTAGTATTTCGTTAAGAAGCATGATACAAACTGCATATAAGTTAAGCAAGTTAATATGATAATTATGTGAAAAAAATTGAGTCAGAGGATGAAGAAGAATATGGATGTTATAAGATGGACATTAGAAGATGTTGTTGTCTTAGAAGTGACTGTGAAGCTTGAAGTCCTTGTCTTTTGATTTGTAATCTGTTGAATCATTAAAATAACTGGATGAGGATTCAGAACTGTTACAGGTGTGAATAATTAAAGTGGATAACAACGTAAAGTTTAGCAACGTGATCATTGTAGGTCAAGAATTAATTATCTTTCAACATCACGACTTCTAATCATAATTAAACCCTGTCCAGGAGTCTTAACAAAACAAATGCTGCTTATGATAGCAACACGTCAATAGCAGGACCTATGCTCCATCTATTCTGATGTTTTTTCTGCACAGATTTCCTCACTTAACCCATTTGTGTCAAATGAGGAAACTTGCCCTGTTGGTGGAGTTCAGGATACAGCTGTGTTACTGACAATTCCAACACAAAGCTCCATCTGACAATTATTTCTGCAAGCACTGGTGAAACAGACTGCCAGCTTCTGGTTTATATCTTCACTTTCATTTTCTTTTTGTCCAGAACAGCTTAATTTCAACTTGTAGCTTTCATCTGAGAAATTAAATCAAAATTGCTGAGGATGGAAATGTGAGAAATTTTTATGCTACTTTTTTGTTACTGCAAACTGCTATTAGAGGTGCTACCCTACTGGAAAGGGGTTGGGGGGCAAAGCATCCATGATGAGCTTCTCTCAGTAATGGAGAGTCTCAGTAACATGGAACTATAGAATCATAGAATCGTCAAGGTTGGAAAAGACCCTTAAGATCGAGTCCAACCGTCAACCTATCACTGCCAACTAGATCCAAGTCGTGGTAGCTTTTTTTTTTTACAGAGTCTTAGGGTGAATTCTCCCTGTTGCTGTAAACTTCTTAGTGGGTCTTGTTTTTCTTAGAGTGTCCTAGATGTGCAAGGCTGTAGCCTAACGCTTTGGTCAGGACAATTAAGATTGGCAGGGAAAAGAGATGCGCTGTTTGTTTAGTGTTGCTTGATTGATGTGGATACTGCAAGCCCTAGAAATACTAAAGAAAATGTCACTAACTCAGTGAGTAATGCTGCATGTAGTTTAAAAGCATGCATGAATGGCCCTTTATTTTGGGTGGCTTCTAAGTGAAGATAAATACCATCTCACCTGTCTCGCTGCAGGCGCATACACATGTTTGCATATCTGTCGTGATTCCTATAGGAAAGGGATTATCTTGCAAAGAAGTCATTTTATTCAGTAATCAGATTCATCTTCAAGAAGGATGCCCATTTTTAAAAAGGGTAAAAAGGAGGACCCTGGGAACTACTGACCAGTTAGCCTCACCTTTGTGCCCGGTAAGATCATGGAATAGATCCTCCTGGAAGATATGTCAAAACACATGGAAGACAGGGAGGTGATTACAGATGGCCAGCATTGCTTCACCAAGGGCAAATTGTGCCTGACTAATCTAGTTGCCTTCTACAATGGAGTTACTGCATCAGTGGACAAAAGAAAAGCTACAGGTGTCACCTACCTAGACTTCTGTAAGGCCTTTGATATGGCCTCCCCCAACACTCTCACTGCTGTATTAGAGAGACATGGGTTTGACAGATAGACTCTAGGATGAGTAAGAAATTGGCTGGATGGCCTTGTCCAAAGAGTTATAGTCAATATCCAAGTGGAAACCAGTAACGACTGGTGATCTAGTGAAAGATGTCAGTGCCCATGGCGGCAGGGGTGAACTAGATGATCTTTAAGGTACGTTCCCTTCCAACGTTGAAGCATTCTATGATTCTATGATTGTAAGTTGGGAAGGCGAGGAGGGAGAGTTGCCCTTTATGTGAGAAAGCAGTGGCAGCGCATGGAGCTCTGCCTGGGAGCGCATGATGAAACAGTTGAGAACTTCTGGGTCAGGATTAGTGGACAGACCAACATGGGCAATATTGTTATGGGTGTCTGCTACAGACAGCCTGATTGGGGGTCTTCAGACAACTGGAGGAAGCCCCATGTTCATTCATTGTCTGTGGTGCTCATATGGTGCTTCAACCATCCTGTTGCAGTTCAGGCTCAATAACTGGACAGCGAGGTGGACTGAAAAGTGGCTCAGCTGCTGGCTTCACATGATTGTGATCAGCAGTACCAGTCCCAGGGCTTGACACAGGCCGATACTGTTTAACGTCTTCATTAATGACCTGGGCAATGGGATAGAGTGCCCCCCCAGCAAGTCCGCACACAATACAGAACTGGGAGGAGTGTTTGATACAGTAGGTGGGTGTGCTGCCATTCAGAGGCACCTCAATAGGCTGGAGAAATGGGCTGACAGGAACCTCTTAAAATTCAGCAAAGGGAAATGTCAAATCGTACACCTGGGAAGAAGTAATCCCATGCACCAGTGCAGATTGGGTACTGACTGGCTGGAAAGCAGCATGATGGAGAAGGACGAAGGGTCCTTGGAGGCACCAAGTTGAACGTCAGCCAGCAATACACCCTTGTTGGAAGGAAGGTCAACAGTATCCAGGACTGCATTAGGAGGACAGTCATCAGCAGGTGAATCCTTCTTTCTTCAGCTGTAGTGAGACCACATCTGGGATCCTGGGCCCAATTCTGGGCTGCCCAGTACAAAAAGGCATGGATATAATGTAGTGAGTGTAGTGAATGGCCATGAATGTGATGAAGAGATTGCAACATCTGTCATACAAGGAGAGGCTGAGGGTGCTAGGACTGCTTGGGTTGGATATAAGACTCAGCAGGGATCTTATCAATTTAGGTAATACATAATGGGAGGGAATAAAGAAGATTGAACCATGGTCTACTTGGTGGTGCCCAGTGAATAGACAAGAGGCAGTGGACATAAATTGATATACAGGAAATTTTATTTAAATGAAAGAAAACTTTTTTTATGTAAGGGTTGTCAAACACTGGAATGAGTTGTCCAGAGAGGTTGTGGAGTCTTCAAGCTGGAGACATTCAAGACCTGACTGGACACAGTCCTGAGCAACCTGCCCTAGCTCACCCTGCTCTGAGCCTTTGGTTTTCATTTGTGGACCATGTGGACACTCATCAGGGTTGTGCTGACAAGTCTTGGCCCATACCATTTCTGAATTCCACAGACAAGGTGTGCTGCCAGGTTTTTTGAGGGAAAGAAATTCCAGAAGATAACCCAATTAGACATCTCACTCACATTTGCTGCTGCAGGTTCAAGCTCTCCAATGCAGATTCTTGGCTAGTAACAACTGGTGGATCATAACATTTCAGTTGAATGCGAAGAGAAATGCCTGTGACTGGAGCTAGAGTTTAAAGTGAAAGAAACTTGGCAGAGATAGCCTAAGCCTTGCTGCTTTTTTTTTTTTAATTATTATTTTCAACTCTTCAGCTCAAAAAGAGTAGGTTCTTCGTAAGGAGAAAACATGGAATTCCTGTGGAGGGTATTGTAATTTGCAGCACAGAGATAGGGCACCAGCTATTAGTACCTTGAGTATGATGACTGAGTCATGGTAAGAAAAGATTCACCCATTGTAAGCTATAGCATAATGTATACATTCATTTTTGGTGCAATGTTCTTTTCCTTTTAAATGCAAAAAGATGAAGTCAGACGTCAATTGAGATGAATCACAGTCAGATGGGAAGGCAGTATGACTTTTACATGCTGTTTCATGAAGAAGCCGTGGAGTTGCCTGGATTCAGCCACTCCAATGTTAAGAACAAACTGGAACAGTACATAAAAATATCTTCGTCTTCAAGGTTGTTTTAGGTATATCTGTTAACAAAGAGCAGAATGGAGGCAACCTAGTAACTTTTTTCTTTCCTCCCTGCGCCTCCTCCCCCTCCCCGCCCCCCAATGTTTGTTCATACAAACATGCATTTTCAAACCAAGAGGTGGTACAGCATTTCATGGGACTTTGGTTTTGATTTGTTGAGGTACAAAGGAATCTTCACTGTTAAACCTGTCTTCAGCTCAATGAAATTCTAAATGAGAAACTTGAAGCTTGACTAAGGGCTTGATTATTTTGGAAAAGACTTTTTGAAACATACTAATAAATGCTAATGTGAAGCATTAGGTTTTCTTTTGATAGAGATGGACACATGCAGCTAAAAAAAGTCTGGAAAAGGAGAGTAAAAACAGCTGGCAAAAATAAAGAAGCTGAAAGGAGAAGTATCTAGAAACACACTTTGGGTTTCTGAGTGAGTTTGTACCTCAGTGTAAGGTAGGCAGCTGTAGGTATCTAGTAGTGCTTCCCTCATGTTCTGAACTAGGGATGAACTGAGATTGTTTCTTTAAGAGGCACTTCATGGTTGAATGAAGTGTCACACTTGAGAGCAAGTTGGATATTGTTATTAAAATGAGTGTCCACTTTTCAATTTGGAACTAATCCGGAACTTGTATTAGATGCGTGTGTTTATTGAAATAATTTGATTGTTACTGGGAGATTTATATACTGAAACTGGAGAAGTCACTTTTGCATTATCCATTCTTTTCTTATGTTTGTAATTTTTGTTTTAAATGGTTGCTGTCTGTGACTGGAACTAAGTGAAATTGTTATCAAACAGATGCTTGGGAAGCATAGCCATTTGCTCATGATAACATTGGAGGGAGGCTGAAGCAGAAAATGCTAGTGTCATACTAGGCAAGTAAACCATTGCCAGTTCCTTGGGAAACCTGTAACTGGGCAAGTTCGCTTTGGATTTTGCCTCAAGTTTAACTTGGCTTCTGAGTATCCCATGCAGGAGTGACTTGCAAGTGTTACCAACCAGTTACCAAAATGCTGCTTCAACAACCCAGAGTCTATGACCCTTTTCATTTTGTACTTACTGCATACAAATGTGCCATTGGACACATATTACTGGAGTTCTCAAAGGAAATTTGCTAACTGTGGTCCTTTATTCCTTTCTGCAGGATCTTTAAATCATTCACTTAATATATATCAAAGATATAAATGTGCGTTTGACTAGAACAGTCATCTTTCATAGCATGGACAGAATGGGTTTGGTGGGCAGTAGCATGGAAAGAGGTAGATGAGAGTGAAATAAAAATGCTAAAAGGAATGAAGACGGAGACTGGGCAAAAAGCACGAAAAGGGAGCAGAATGGCAGCAGATGTGGAGAGAATTTATTTAGATTTGAAAATATAACTTGAACTTGTTTCAATATTCTGTTTAATGAAGTAGTGTAGTGTCAAATCTCAGTTTGATTAAAGCTCATTTTAGATGATCCTTTGTGGATTTCCTCAAAGATATGAATATTTAACTCTTATTTCAAATATACTGGAAGAGGAATTTTCTAGGGAATTCACTGTTCAAAGAACTATGGTAGGGAAATGAAAGTCTTCATGCACACTGGCAGCTATCTCTATGTACAAGTGTTCGCTGCTGGCTGAATTGTACTTTCTAGCAGATACCTGCAAGCCTCCTGCGTAGTAGGATCAGCATGCTTTGGAGTCTCTTATAAATCTTAGGAGACCAGACTGGACATTCTGAGTTAAACATTGCTTTCTAAAACTCTCACTTTGAATTCAGCCTGTTGTAGATCACAAAGAGTCTTGTAGTGATAAGAGACTTGCAAATGGTAAGCACAGTTCTTTCATAACTGTAGAAGAATTGCGAATAGAAATACCTGATTTATCTTCTTTCACTTGAAATAAAATTTTAAATGTTTCTGAGTTCAATAATGTACTTTTGCTGAAAAGGCTTAACAAAGAACATGCTGGGTTTTTCCAAGTGTGATACACTGTTGATCTGTCAGGAGTAAAAATGAGCTATAACTTAAGTCTTTGTGACACCAAACTTACTTGAATCATTGCTTTAACGCTTGTCATCTGAAACGGTGCAGCAAATGTTTTGCCCTACTTTTTAGCTAAGAAGGTAAGGATTGCAAGATGGGAAGATAATGATAGGCTCATTATATAAAAATTTCCAAATTGGCCTTTTTTCCCTTAAGTTGTCATTAACTTTCAAGTGAAATTGCAGGGAAATAGCAAGGATTATTACTGTGAAGTGAAACTAAACATATATTTCATGCAGAAAATACAGATATATGTGAATGTTCACACATAGCATAATGTCCTGTGAGATACAAGTTTCTGAAAGTTATGCTCCTGCTTTTCTTGTGTTGTCGACTGCATTTATGTTGTGATTACATACTATACTCAATTACCAATATTTTAAATAGCATGTGATATGTTTGAGTATGGGGTGATGCACTTCTATAATGAAAAGGGAAAACAAGTCGTAAGAGCTTTCAGGAAAAACACCATTTTCCACAATTACAATAAAACATAGAACCTGACTTAATTGTTCTATTTTAAATAAATGCTCTTGAAATTAAACTTACATGAAGTGAATAGAATGCTCTTCAGGTGCATGTAGGACCCACACCAATAATTTTGGCAGAAACTGTTTTAATTTTTTTTTACCTTTATGCTTGTAGTGAGTGTCTACACTTTTTCTTTTTTTCATGTGTGAACAAAATGATGCTTATCTGTTTTCACCTGCAGAATCTGGTTATTGTCGCTGTTAAATATATCTTTTTGTGAAGTAAAAAGGCTATCAAGAGTCAGCTTTTTGTGCTGCAGCTTTTTGTGTAAATGTCTAGTAATGGGAAAGTTGATAATGAAAATCAATAGTAGTTGATGGGAGAATAAAATAGTAGAGTACTTTCATGTGTCCTTTAAATCAGCTTGAATCATTGTCTCTCCACAACTACCCTCTGGCGTGTATCAACCAGAACAGTTGGTGTAAAGTAAGGATTCTGTGGAATAACCAGTGAGGGGAAATACATGTAGGAGAAAAGCTACTGCTGCTGTACTTGCAAAGGACTTCTAAAATGTAGGATTTGGCTATTTGCTTCTTTCCTGTGTCTCCTGTTGTCCTTATTCAAGCTTTTAAAATAAATTTAGAGAGAACAGGTAATGCAGTCATGTTTCTACAGTATAAGAGAGAAAGAAAAAAACCTGTAATGTCTCTGTACCTATATTAAAAAGCATACTCACATTAAAACATGAACCTACAGAATTCAGTGGTTCCTTATTTATGAAATGTAAGGAGTTGATTTAAAATTACTTCCTTCAGGGACATAGTCTAGTGCTATTCCTGTCTTCATCCCCAGTTCTGAAAGCAGACCACAATCTTCATATGTGCTGTCAGTGTTCACCCGCAGTCCCGTTTACATACATATTTATCAGAAGACTTAATCAAAACTATATTTCTACAAGAAAATATTACCTAGGTATAGACAAGAGATCTGTGTCCTGGAGGTTGGGTTTTTTTCTGAGTTTTTCTTAATCTATTTTTTGGTTTTGTTTTGGTTTTTATTTATTTTTCTTCACGTCAGAATTTTTTTAGATGTAGATAGGCCATCATGAAATAACCTTATGCCACAAGAGTCTTGCTTCGACAGGTTGGTAGTAGCATCAGGTTTTCTCGTTTTCAGTCAAGTTAGACTGTGGGCCATCCTTACACTATAAGAGAATTACGAAGTTTCACTGCTGGGGATTGCTTTGTACCAGCTTCATAGTCCAAATGCCTGAAACCAAACTGTGCACTTCAGCTGTTGACTTTTCTATTACTGCTTCAAAATCTCCTATCTTGTGTGTTTAACTTCATGTTACCAACTGACTCTCATTAGCTTTGCAGCAAAATTGAGGCCCCTAATATGGTGTGTGTGTCCTTTGATGTTTCCTCCAGAGATTAGCTATTTGATCATTTCCCACTTGGCTTGTACAATATGGCCTGGATAATGAGTGGCTCCAGTGGAAAACATGACTTTTTTCAGGATTTAAAGCATTTGAATAAGTTTGTCCTGGAAACCTTTTGTAAGAGTGAATGGTTGTTTTAATACATTTGTCACTTTTAGAGGTCTTGACATTTTATCAGGTTAGGGATTAATTGCTTTTATTCTGAGTAACTGGCTCATTATGGTCTTGCTGCAGGAAGATAATGTAACTTTCTAGGTATGAAAAAAGTTTCAACCCCCATAGCAATTTTTTTTTGGTACTATACAAGCAAATATAAAAATATGATCACATCTCTAATTAATCCTCTTTTGTTCATGGATCCTCTTACCTCTTTTTTCTTTTTTTTTTTTTTTTTTTTTTTTTTTTCTTTTTTTTTTTCCCTCCTTAGATCCTGGATATGAACATTTTAAGATAGCAGAAAAGTCCCATGGTAATTGGATCAAACTGTATTTAGAGGGGAACAATTCAGAAATACTCTTAAATCTTGGCAAAAAGGTCCTGAAGCAATATTTGGAGGCCCTGAAGACTCTGAGTTCTTCACTAAGCAAACAAGTGGCACAGTATGACATGTATTCGATGATGGTGGGGACTGTGATCATTATGGAGGTACAAAAATACATCTTTCAGTGAAAAAGCTAAGTGCACAAACATAAAAGTTTCTGGGTCTTGTCTACTTAGTGTATACTCTTATTGGTCTTTAGAATTACCAAGTATGAACTCTTAGAGTTGGCTGACTTTCTGCTTGGATGAGGTTAATATTCTTTTTAAAGTATAACTTAGCCTTTAAAATGATTCAAGGGAGCTTTTGATATAAGCTACTTAGGTTTCGGTGTAACTAGTTACAGTAAATATGCAGATGTGCTACAACTTAAATTACTCCCATATTAGTTAGCCTTCTACTTTTTGAGTAGCCTTACTGAATTCAAGAAAAAAAAAAAAAAAAAAGTCTGGCAAGGGAGTTCCTACCTGTTCCTCTTTATGTAACAGTGAGTGTAGCTGCTCAGAACAGGCAATACCTTGCGTGGGCAATTTTTCCAAGAATTGTTCCTTGTACTGATAGGTGTAGAGCCCTGAAATAAATACTTGCTGTAAGGTGCTGGGTTGCCACTTCATATCTCATGTAAGAATAAAGATAAATTATCCCATGTCTGGAATTTTAAGTGGTTCTCTGCAATTGATATTTTGGGCAAATCTCAAATGCTGGAAATATCCTATGTGGTAATGCTTTGAGAGCCGTGCTGAAGGGATACCATGCCTGGACATTGAACTTTTATGTACGGAAGCTTGCACTGACCTTTTAGATGACACGAGTGTCAACTTTTGTAAGAATAAGTGGTGTTCCCTGGGATGGGAATACCTGCTACAACCTTAATTTAGTCCTTGCATGTGTGTGATGCTGTAAAAGACTGTGTAATTGCTGTAGTGCTGGTCCTGTTCAGTGCCTGGAATGGATAACAGTACCTGAGCAGCTCTTTAGTATTTGAGTCTCCTTTGTCCTGGCAGGGCTTTATGACTCATCTGTTCTCTGTGGACAGAGTACATCTGAAATGGCTTTCTAGTAGACTGCTCAGTAGGGTTTATCACTCTGCTGATCACTTCACAGGAATTAGTTCCACAGTGCACTTGGGAGATGAGATGGTAGGTTCTGTTCCCACTGTACTGATGGCAAATCTGGAGATGAACAAAGCTCAGCGCAAAGCTGAAGTGCTTATATTTTTTCTTTGTTCCTTTTGTTTTGGGAACCTATGTATTCAAGCTCTTGACAGTTACTTTGGCCCTGAAGCACTGGCTTTCTTTTTTTCTTTTCTGGAATGCAGTTGTAGGTGCTTACTTTTTCTACAAAAGAGATCTCGGGTATTTTACTCAATGGGCCTTTATCAAAGGAAACATGCAGCTACTAACCAGGAGAATTTTGGTTGACAAGAGCTTCCTCAGCATCACTGTAAGACTCGGTGCAAAACTGCTGGAGTTTTTTCTTTTCTCCAGTGCAGTACTCAAGAAACTGCCTTGCTTTCCAAAATCTTTCTGTCTTGGTACATATTTCACCCTCACTGAATAAATAAGGGTAGGGAATCTCACAGGTGGCTTCAAACTACACCATGCTATAAATGCCATTTATCTTGTATTTCAGATGAGGAGAATACCTCTGGGACATGGATTAATAACAGTACATTTGCTCAAAAGAGCTAAATTTAGATTTGTAGGTAACTACAATTTGAGCATTTTCCTATCATGAATGCTGTCTTTGTTTTAATTTTAAGTGCTGTGTTAAAAGGTAAGACCTAGGCCAGTTTGATACTGTGAACCCTCATATTTTCATAACCAAGTGAACTGTGTGAAGTAGAATATGAAGAAGAAGGAAGACTACTGCAATGCATTTGATTTTTTTGGTCTACTTTACTATACCTCGCTATATTGTTGGAAAAATTTTAGGCAGAGGTTTTCACAAGTGACAGTGAAAGATTACAGGTTGGCAATGGTCTGATATAGTTGTTTTTATCTTGATTTGCTTTAATCTTGCCGTAGCACAAGCTGGTTTAGCTCGATCTAGTCCTAGCTCCATCTGTGCCCCTTGCACATTTTAGCATGTGGCTGAATTTTCCCTTCACTTGTAAAGGTTTGTACATGGATAGCAGAAATTATTCATGATATTATTCATCTCCACTGCCACAGTTACCTGAGAGGAAATTTGGAATTCTGCCTGATCTGTGTGCAGTTTAAAGCAAAGCGCAAGTAAAACCAATAAATCAAATTAAGATGAGGAGAGGTATAAAACATACAGGGAGAATTCGTAAGCTTGAAATGCAGCTTACGCTTGTGTGAGAAATTTCCCTGGTCTGGGAAGCTATTTAACTCAGCAGGACCTCTGTGTATGCGTGTCTCTCACATTGTGAGATAAACAGCCTTTGGTAGAGTGTATATGTAACTTTAGGCATTTATGGGTGACAAATAATGGGTCAACTGTGTTCACTGAGGAACTATTTTGATATTGGGAGTTAAAACTCTTACTTTTGCAGTGACTGAAGATCAGTTACCACAGGTGAGGAGGCACATGGTAATTTATTAAACTGGTAACTTGTGTGTCAAAGCTCTTAATAAATGAAAACACAATCTTTGGTTCTCCCATTTACATGGTAATGTCTTACTGGGTTCAAAAAATCCAGCATAGTTCTTCACAGTTTTTTTGATGAAGTGTGTATACTAGCAGAGTGGCATGGATGACAACAGTATGATTTTTTTGTGTGAATTCTCACTGTATGTTTTGGCTAACACCAATTCTTTAAGTATTAATTCTCTATTTTTTTTTCTAGGTTCTGCTGCTGCTTTTGCTCAGCATTCCAAAAGCCCTGAGCAGCCGGGCAGAATTTGAAGTGCCCCTCTCCCCTCCACTATTCTCTCTGCTGTTTTACTTGATGTGTCTGATGCTGTGTGCAGTTCACATCATCGTATGCACATCAGCAGAAAGTTTATGCTATTTCTGCAGTATGTCCTGGTTAACAGCAGTTGGAGTGATGATGCTGATTTCTGCGCTCATGTGCGGTATTTTATCTGCCATTGCAAAGATCTTTGAGAATTCCAGACTTCCACTGAAGGTGAGAGCATGCATTAATTATGGTTCAAAATGTTCAGTTCTTTTATGGTATGCTTTCACATAAAGTTTTATAAAAGTTTTCTCTGTGTGTACTTAAAGAAGTTGTTATTTGTAATGTAATTTGAATAATTTAAAACTGTAATTGAAATGTGGTGTGTTCACTGTGGCGTGATACCAATTGCTATAATGAAGATCATAGAAGTACTTATTTTCACGTTACTTTAAGAAATATTCTAATTAGTGCAAATTATTTTGTGGTTGATTTTATGAGATCAGAAACAGTTACGCTGTATACTAATTTTATGCTATTACACAGTGATGTTTCACAATTGCGATTAAAGCAAGATGTATGATATTTTGCAACAACGTGCACTGGTGATGATTTGTCCCTTCCCAAATACCACAGACGTTAATGCTCTAAGACTAATAAGAAAATACTTTGCCAGTACCCTTTCGTATATTGGTATTCTTAATGCTTTTTAAAAATAGTTTTGAAACTGTAACAGAGGGAGCAAAAATAATCTGTCTCTTCTACTTCTTAAGTTAAACTTTTTAATTTTTTTAAGTTTAAGGAACTGAATTTATTACTATCTGTGGAATGCTCAGAAATGTTCTCAGTTGTGCGAGTAGTTACCTTCTGTGAAGTACTTGATGAGTTTTATTGTTGTATTGAATAGAATTCAGGTAATTCCAAGGAAATAGAAATTGCGATGTCTTACTCTTCTTTCACTGTGAAACTTAGTATGCCAAGAACTGTCAGTCACACCATAAAATCAGCTTCTAGCTGTTTTGCTGCCAAGGCTAGTGAAGCTTGTGTGGTTTTTTTTTTTTAAAAGCAAATGAAAGAAGAAAGTAAAATTAATCAATGTGAACGGAGAAATCTGCTGAATCAGATGTCTAGTTGTATAGTTTGTTAACGCTGTGCGTACTTAGGGGCATGTTGGTCTTTAAATGGACTCAGTTCACTTCTGCCATTTCTGAGTAATTCTGCTTAGGGCCTTTATTAGCTTTCTGTATTATATTGTAAACAAGGTAGAAATTATTCTTAAAAAAAGTAAAACAATATGGTCTTGAAATAATAATTAATGATCTAATGTGTTCTGTAGAAACTTAACATTTACTTGCTGTTCAATGATAAACAAACACAACTATGGAAGACAAGCTCATTTTTCATCTTAATTGTTACCAGTTTTTCTAATTCTAGCAAACAGTAAGAATCTAAAAATGATGACTGTCTAGACCTGCATAAAATTTACAGATGTCCCACTTCAATAAGTTGAGAGCAATGACAATGGATGATAGCTTTCTCCTCCAAGTTGATAGTCTCAAAGCAATTCAGTCTGTCTCTGACCAGAAATCTTTATTATATGGCTAGAGATGAGTTAATTCCTTGTGACACCCACGACTGTAGGAGTAACTTTTGTATGATCCAGGAAAAATGTTTTACTACTAGATCAACGACTGAAATCTAGGAAGATGCTGCTATTCCTTGGCTATTACTAAATTTAGAATAGGCTGTTACCAAGTATTTGTTGACATGTATGACCTCTGCCTTTTTACTTTGGCCTGAGTCTTAGGGTTTCATTCCTATCTGTTCTTGACATGTTTTCATCCTTGTTGGTGAGAGACAGCTGCTGGTGTGAACAACTTCCTGCAGATGGCTTATATATTGCTAATACAGCTGCTCTGTCAATGATCACATCAGCAACTGCAAAATGTCTCCTGGTATTCAAAACCTGAGTTGGGTGGAAAGGCTTTTCTTATGAAAGGAATTAATTGCTAGCTCCCTGACGGAGGCAAATAATTCCTCAAGGAACATATAAAAAGAAGCACCCATATAATCCATGCTGTTCTACTTCTAGAATTAATCTTTGAGGAACTTTAGAGGAGGAAGTGCCATTTCCATACCCATAGTCTGCTGGCCATTTCTGATGATTCCACCTAGTCAGTTATGCCTAGGGAGCATGGACAGGAGTATGTGTGAGAAGTCTTTATCTGTCCCTTCTATTTCAGTTGTCTTCCTTCCCCACCCCTGTTTTGTACATCTGCCTTTGAGGGCAAACTGAGCAAAACCAATCAAACCAATTAGAAATTATATCCAGGATACTGTATCCAGTTTTATATCTTTACCTCCAGCACCCTACATTCTGCATGTGAGAGACCACAGCAGCTGGAGGTTTCTCCCTGGTTGATGTTGGGGCTTTAGATTCAATCTGCTGTTGCTTGAAGAAGGATATTGCAGCAGTAACTTGTCTCCTTTTCCTCTTTGGTACCAATTAGGAGATCATCTGGAATTCAAGAAGTGGAAAAAACCCCTTTTTATTCACAAGTGAAATTTTGTGTTACCATGTAGAGAACTGGTAGTGCAAAACAACGAGATGTCTCAAACAGCCTTGGTGCTAAAACCACAATGCAGAGCGATGATCACTCGGACCCAGGACTGGATGGTACCTGGAGTGAGGGTGAGGGAGGGAGCCCTGTGGAGACAGGAGGGCCTTGCCTCGGCCCCATCCTTGTGGGCTGTGAAGCCTCTTATTCTCTCTCACACCTACTGCCTCGGGGAGGGTCCTGGTATCACTCCTCTTGGTCTGACTGGTCGCCCCTCTTCATTTGACTGGTATCTCTACCGCTCCTGGAACTGGGACGAGAGAAGGTTCCGGAAGTCCAGAGACTGAAATCTATAAATAGGGACTCTGGCTCTCTCTCGGGGGCTCTCTCCACTGAATACCCCTGTTGGCAGGCCCCATGCTGGATCCAGGACTGGTGATCCTCCTCTTCTTCCCTCTTTCTCTCTCCCCCTCTTTCTCTTTCACTTCTCCTAAGGTTATTAAATTGTTAAAGTTGAAAAATTGTAGTTAAGAGTACTGCATGGTCTACCTCGATTTTCCATAAAGCCACATTGCTTAGCTGCATATCTGGGGTAGAGATAATCATGAGAAGGCTGGCAGGTATTGAATATTTGTACTCAACATTTGTATCTATAGAAGCTTTCTGTTAAAGCTGGTGCTTGTGTATGGACCTTCAGTGATTCAAGCATTTCCTGTTTGAACTAGAAAGGTGGGGGAATATCTGAAATTGGTGCATACATGTTTTCTGGAGTTTGACCTAGCTGGGACCTCAGGACAGATTATCTGCTTCAAGTTGGTAATACATGAATGAGGGGGTTTTCAGCAGTGTTTTCCAGAAGGTTTGTGTGTTCGTTTGTTTTTCCAAGGCTGGGACAGATAGAAATAAAAAATACTGGATTCTCCATCCCAGGTCTGTCTGTGATCATATTCCTACCTGAGACATTTCTGAAAATGTGGGAAGCTGAAGTATGTCTTATGAAGTGTAGGCAATAGTAATTCTGGTTGAGGCAGATGTGACTTTGTAGTCAGACCTGTGGAAATCCATTTTTGTCATCCCATCTTCAATCCTATTCCATAGGTGACTGGATTGCTGGATATATATCTCATTTCATCAGTCAGGCTTTGCTGTCTCTGCTCAAGTTCCAAAGCAAGCTTGAAATATTTTGTAGGTTTAGTTAGTAAGTTCTTCCATTCCAGACATGTATAAAAGCAGTGACCTGGATTTGATTTACATTTTTACTAGTCTTAGGGCTGTTGCAGAACGATATGGTGGGGTTTTTTGCAGGTGGCTGCTTATATAAGCATAGAGCCTGGAGAATGTGAAAGGAGCAGTGGATAATCTGGTGTTGCTTGCAGTGTGGATGTGAGAGGTTATTTACTCGGAACTGGCACACGGTTACTATAATTCACAAATATTAATGTCCCACCTTCCATCTCCTTTTCCAATAGAATGCCTAGACTTTTGGGGAGAAACTGCTTGTCTGTATATGCTGTGTGTTGATCTTGAGGGGCCTTCAGTGTGAGTTAGGAATTTTACTATGCTAAAATATCTTTGTATCCAAGTGTCTGTGACCTGTGCATCTCCACAGTGCGAATCTGCACATGGGCTCCATTTCTGAAAGAGCTCTGAAACCCTGCTCTTCTGATGGCAGGATTAGAATCCTGAATCAGGGTCTCGCCAGTTAAAAAACCTAAAAACCTTTTCTAAGCTCATGCTATACAATAAAATGTAGGTATTTTAGAAGTAATTAAGATAAGCACTCCTGTTAATGGCTTCAGAGCTTTTTTCCTTCAAATTGTTTCCGTTCACATCCAAAGATTTCTTTGAAGTGCTTCTCATTTGTAATGCTTTTTTTCCACTGTGGCTGAATATAGAAACTGATTACCAAGTTCATGAATTTTCTGAAGACCAGTGCAGGCAGTGTTAGCATCTGCTTCCTGACTGTTATTTATTGGTTCTGATTACTGTGCTTCTAGCAGCACCAGTTCCTTCTTTTAATGACACTTCAGGCTTTAAATAGTTTTGCAGCCCTTTATGAATTCCAAAAAATCGTCAAAAATTTTAGCTTCTTGTTCATAGCTTCACTCTAATTGCTTGGTAGTTGACTTAAGTATGGTATTTACTACTAGTAGTTGTAATTTTTTTCCTATTTCTGGTAGAAATCAAAAGCAATGTTTTTTTGAAAATAGAGCACAAAAGTTAAAGCCTATCAAATACAGCTTTTGAGAATTTTCATTGCGCAGAATTATAGGGTTTTTTAATTACATAAACAAAATGTCCCTCCTTCTGGTTTTTTTTTAATACCCCTTTCATTTTAAAATATTTTTGGTTTTCCTCCTCTGTGTGGTATTCTTTACTGAGTTGAACGATAAAACATTTTTATGCAATTGTACTTAAAAATTTTTTTTTGCATTTGTTGACTAGGGGAAAAAAAAGGTGATTGGATGGTGCCTTTACTGGTTAGCTTTCCAAAATGATCCCAAACTACTGTGAAAATGTAGGAGCAAGTGTGGTCTGTGGTACTCTGTCGTAGGAAAGTTATCATCATTGGAAATCAAGACTGGATGCAGGGAGCTCAAATATAAGAAGGGAACAGAATGATAATGTCCTGGTTTCAGCTGGGATATTAATTTTCTTCTTGGTAGCTGGTATGGGGCTGTGTTTTGGGTTTAGGATGAGAACAATGTCGATGATACACTGATGTTTTGGTTCTTGCTAAGTAGTTGCTAAGTGGCGCACACACTGGTCAAGGACTTTTGAGCTTCCCATGCTCTGCCGGGTGCACAAGAAGATGGGAGGGGGCACAGCCAGGACAGCTGACCCAGACTGGCCAAGGGGCTACTCCATATCACATGACATCACGCTCAGTATATGAGCGGAGGGGAGTTGGCCAGGGGAGGGGCAACGACCGCTGCTTGTGGGATGTGCTGGGCATCGTCCGTGGGTGGTGAGCAATTGTACAGTATATAGCTTGCTTTGTATTACTATTGTACTATTATTACTTGTTTTTATTATTATTGTTATTATTATTACTATTACTACTGTTCTATTTTTATTTTACTTTAGTGATTAAACTGTTCTTATCTCAACCCACGAGTTTTCCCCTTTGGCCCTTCCGATTCTCTCCCCCATCCCACCGGTGGGGGAGTGAGCGAGCAGCTGCATGGTGCTTAGTTGCTAGCTGGGGTCAAACCACGACAGATAAATATTTGAATTTTGGATGATGGTGAGCATGGAAAGTAAAACGTTTCTCATCTGAAAAATGATTGTAAAATTCCTCAGGCATTAACTATGGATGGTTAATTTTTGTGTAAAAGAGCCTTACTCTCAACCGTACAGAAGCCACGTAACTGGAATTGGACCCACAAGGTAGACTACAGGAGGTTTTATTTCAAAGTGAAGAAAATGTAAGTTTCATGGACAGACTTGCATATATTCCATTGTTTATGTATGGGCACTTTTGCCAGCTAGCAAGATATGTTCAAAGACAGGGCAAAGAGGTCAGTTTCAGTATTACTTAATTACTAATGCTGATACATCAAATGTTAAAGCTACCTTGGCTTGGCAGATTATAGGCTTAAATTGAAAGCCTGGCATTTATAAATTTCTAAACCAAAGATTCTGTATTGTTTGTTTGCCAAGATATCAGTGCGAGTTATATGAGTCTTTTAGTATCTGGAGTGCCTACTAGGTTCCTGAGGGTTGGAGATGTTGAGCAGCTAGAAAGCCAGAGCTGTGAATATCAGAGAAGGACCTACATTTCTGTGCCTATAAACCAGATGTAAAAACTAAATACAATCTAAGTAATCTAAGGTCAGGATGTATAAAAAACTGTAATGATGGCGTTCCTAATAAGGCACAGCTCATATATGAGGGATTACCAGTAAATTTAGAAAAACTTGATGAAGCTATTTTCAGTATTTCTTAGATCATGAAGGATCAGGAGATTTTAATTTGCAGCATAATTTTTCATTTTGCATAGTGACTAACTCTGGTCTGAAATGTGGTTTATCAATAAATGCCACTGGACTTTAACCCTTTGATGTGAATATAGGAGTAAATTTTTTCACTGCAGTTGTGAGAGTCAGACAAGCAGACAAGAAATATGGATTTCTAATACTGGGACATTTCACACTAATGCCATCATTTTCATGAGGGTTTTGCTTGTTCCCCACTGATAATACGTCACTTCTTCACTTCTTCAGTTTTCTTATCAGTGCTGACAGCAACTGAGCAATCCTTATATAGATTTTATGTTATATCTTATAAAGAAGACAAATTAATTGTATTGAAGACTGGTTCATTGTCATTTGTTGAGGATCTCAGATTCCTTTGTCTCTGCAAGCAGACGGTGCTTACATGCTCGCTCATTGTTTAGTTAGCCAAGATCTTTTAAGGTCCGCATGATGTAATTATTGGAGTTTAAACTTCCAGTAGTTTAGTCATATACTGTTCTTGTCTCAGCTTTGTGAATTTCATGGTCTTTGGTCTCTGCATGGACTCTACCTTGTCCTTGTGTTCCAGAATGTAACTTATGGTATTTGATTTCCAGAGTAGAATACTAAACAAAAAGGAGTGGTCTTTAGACCACCAAAGAAATTTCAAATGCTTGTAAATTTAGATTGGGCCTGGGCAGTTTTTCATATTATGACTGTTCTTATGCTAAATTTTTACTGTTCTTTTCCCTCATTATTGTTGTGTGTAAGCTCATGGGGATTTTTTTGGGGTTTTGTTTTGGTTTTTTTTTTTTTTTAAGTGAAATTACTTTGGTGTAATATATTTCTTTAACAACACAAGAAATGGAGGTGATGTGAATAGGTGATAACTCCTTCATTCTTTTATATACATCTTATAAAACTTTGATTTTGCAAAAGTTGTTTTCCTCGAAGACAAATTCCAGGTAGTATTAACTAGCTTCTTGCATCAAGTGTGTGTGTTGTCCTCTCCATGCTACATGGTCTTACTTATTGAACAAAAATACGTATGGGGATATGTGTATTGTTTACATCCACTTTCTTGTTACTTGCTCTAAGATTAGCGAGTTTCTGTATTCTTCTAACAAATGATTTAAACAGTTCAAGAATCATAGTGCACTGTGCATCTTCAAATGGGAGTGTGGACTCTCTGAGATTTATCTGTATTCAAGATGATTTTTTAAAGTTTGTTCATAAGGTCAAATGTAGGAGGATGATGTTGAAGTGTGCAGTTAAAGAAATTAACGTGAAAGTGGGTTCAGAGATCTTTGTTCTGAAGTAAAAATGGCATGCAGTAGTTTTGATTTGGCTTTTAGGTTGTTATTTATCAGGTGTTTAAAATACCAGTTTAAGAGATACTCCTTGATATCCTCTAATAGAGGAAAAATTAATGAGAAAATAAAACGGTAAAGGATGATTTTTGACAGCGTCTTTCCCAAAATGCTTCACACGTATGTAACCGCATTTGTTAAGGTATGTTAGGAAGCCCTGCTGGCTCTGGTGGCTTCCAGGGCTGGGGCATTTGTCCTGCCTTGCTGCTGGAGCCCAGCTGTGCATGCCCAGCCTGGGCTCCTGTCCCCACCTCTGGCTTAGACTTTGGAGAGAAGTTAAATGGACAGAGGTCCCTCCAGTCAGTGGCCTTGTGACCTCTCATGCATAGGTGCACACCCTGGGCCCTCCAGTTTCTGGTGCAGACCTACAAGCTTTGTGATTGATGGTTGCTTTTCTTGTTGCTGACACCTTAACCTCTCTTGCACTCTGATCCCTCCAGCTGCCGGCACCTCAGGCACACAGTCCTGATGGCCTGTGGCCCCCACTCCGCTCTCTGGCACGTGGACTCTCAGGCGCTGCAATTGCTGGCACTACAGGCATGTGGTCCAATGACCCATATTCCTGCTTAGGTTGCTGGCGTTTGCTTTTACTCGCTCTGGTCTCAAGTTGCTGGCATGCAGGCTTGTCCCCAGTTGCTTGCAGTGAGGCCTTGCAGCACCCACAGGTGGGACAGAGTGGAGTTGCACAGAAAGATAGTTAGGAGAGGATTTAGTAACACAGGATAGGCTGCAGTGATCAGGTACAGGGCTCAGTCAGAGAAGTGTGCTGACTAGCGCCTGCTTATACGTGACTCTGGCCTTTTTATCCTTCCTCCTCTCACTTTGCTCCCTGCCTCCAGCCTGTTCCTCACCACCCCCTCTCCCCCACCTTTGACACTTTCCTGAAGCATTGCTTAATGAGCTTGCATAGATCCACAGGCGCCCTCAGATATCCATAACACTCATGTTCTGTCACTTGCCCCTTATCTGTTACAAAGTTGAGGCTGATGCTCTTGAGACCTATGCCTGTGGTTTCTTAATGGCCTGTCAGTTAATGGCTGAAGAGTTTTGATTATCTTTATGATCTCTCTTAGTGCTTACTTACCAGGTTTGTGTGTCTGTGTGGTCTTTTTATGGCTTTCCCTGTTACTTCGTATTCCCTGTGAGCTGAAAAGGTCCTTTATGTAGTAACGTCAATGAACCAGATGCTTTCACCTTCCGCATGCCCTTACACTCTCTTTTTAGCCATATCATTGAGGGCAGTGATGATGTGGCAGTTCCAAGTAGCTGCTGTGAACAGGAAATCAAACGAATGGAGGCACTAGACAAAGAATGTTATGGTTTTAGATAGGCGCAGCGTGTGAAGTAAATAATAGATGTAAGGTTTAAAGTAGATTTTATGATGAAAGACACATTTCAAGCTAAGCAAGGTTAAGGGGTGCCATCAAACTGTCTGCAAGTAACTTTTGTTAATTTGAGTAGCGAAGGCTGTCACTGTACTGAGTTGAGGGTAGCACAGATTTAAACTATTAGAAAATTACCTATTATCTGTATCTCAAGTTTGATTTCTGCAGGATTTCTATTTTTACTTCTACAAATGTGCAATGGGGAGAGATCTTGTTTCAAACCTTCTGTCACAGGGTGGTAGGGAATCTTAATCTGTGTAGTTGTGATGATTATTCATAGGGAAGTTTTTTCCCTTAAACAGAAGGTCACTTTAAACAGTATGATTATGTTGCAATGCTATTATGATAAATGCTATTATGATAAATGCTAAAACACTATCATGATTCTTTTATAAATTTTTGGGATTTGTCAACTTGTGTCACTGTTTATTTTGTTTTCTTAGAGGAAGTTGCAGTAAGCACACTATGAATGTTTAAACAAGTGAAATTTTTGTACGCTTTCACCACTGCTGTATTTTTTTGTTTGCAGAATCCAGTTGTGTCCAGTTTCAGCTGGTCAGAAATAGATGTGCTGATTCTGGCTGGAACAGTTGGCCATGTTTTGAGTTTGGGGGCAAGCAGTTTTATAGAAGAGGAACATCAAACCTGGTATTTTCTTATCAATACACTTTGTTTGGTGCTGTGTCAGGAACTCTGTAGAAATAATTTTCTTCTGAAAGAATGTGACCCTCAACATAGCACCACTGTGAAACAAAATTTTGATAGTATCGGGGAAGCCTCTGAGTGCAAGAATATAGACATTCCAGCGGCAGGCAGTTCAAAATTGGGCAAGGCCACCTCTTCAGCTGAATTCATAAAAGGATCAGATAAGTGGATAAGCTTAGCAAGTCCATGGATCATCCTTATTTGCTGCCGGCTGCTTCGATCCTTGAATCAGACAGGCGTCCAGTGGGCTCACCGGCCAGACTTTGGACATTGGCTGACAAGGTGGGTATCTGATTTATTGTCATACTCTCTGTCTTATTTAAAAATTAATGTATGTTTTCGCTTGGTGAAATACATATACATTTCTATACATTCGCTGTTTAGAAAATGCTGTGAACATGCAAAGTGGGTAAACCGTGAAGCAACATAAGGAATTTCGCACTGCTATTTCATGCAGGAGTAATTCCTTGTGTACTATCAATAGTTTATAATCTTTGCCCTGCATTTTGACTTACCTAATTAATGCCAATTATACAGGATAGGTTTATCAGAGGCAAAAAGTAAATATTTTCCATGTGAAAGTCAACAGTGTCTAGTTTGGGAAATTAAAAATCGCTTAATAGAATTAAACCCTTGAAATTGAGGCAGAAGGTTCTGCTCAGTTCCAAACTTTATGAAGTTGGAGGGGAAGATGCTGCACATAGAATTCTTCCTTGTCTATCACAGACCTTTAATGTATGGGTGAAAAACGGAAGGAATTTTTCAAGTGTAGTATGATAAACAAGAAAGGGAATTTTTTACAACTTGAAGAACACTGGAGAAGGGCTTTTACTTTTTCTGCTACCTTTTAGTATTTTGAAGAACTACCGCCATTATTCTGTGATAAAAAGTACTTGATATTTGAACAGTCTTCTGTAGTTCAGCTTGGTGGACAGAGAAGCAATACTTTGTGACTGACTAGTCAAGGTTTTGCAGACAGCAGATGGGGAGGCTGTGCTGCGTAAGAAAAAGAAATATCTTGCCAGTATCTTACAAACATGCGGATGAAATGTCATTCGTCATTCATTAATAGCAACATGAGCAAATGAACTAATATGAGACTTGTTACTTATTGGCAGCCTCACAGATAAAATGCTAATTGCTGTGACAGGCATGAGTGCTGAAAGACATGAGTTATGAGGGAATTTATCACATTATAGCAGTTGTACTATACTAAAGCTTTCGCCGTACATTCCTCTTGAGATGAGGTGAGGGATTGAGGAAGGAATGTCATATTCCCAATGTTAAGTCCACATGATAGAGAACTCCTTCATTATGAGCTAAGCCAGTGTGTGAGCAGGATTAGGTGTGATTTGGTGTGACTGGAAGGATTTTTATAATTAATCCTGAGCATCTTCCAAAGATTTATTTGCCCAATAACTTCCTGAGCCAAATGTCTTCTTCAGACTGTCAGCCCTTTTCTTTGGAGTGTGCTAGTGCCACAATGCCATGAAAGAAGGACTTTATATTCTTGCAGCTGAAAAATTGTGTTTGTTTGAGATGTGCTTTTGGTAAGTGTGCTCCCACCTCTGGTTTTCTCTTGCTAGGTATGCCTGTAGAGCAGCAAAACCTCTTATAACCTTCAGCTGTGGGGACTCAGGGAGATAGCACAGGTAGAACGTAGTCTGCAGCTAGAGCAGGTGGTTCTAGGGCTTCCTGATTTACAACAGAAGCTGGAAAATCCTGTATGCCCAGCTCTAACACTATTGTCTCTCAGGAGCTTCCAAGCAACCCACTCAGGTAAACCAAGGTTGTTTATACCTGTTCTACCTTAGTCTCTTTTTTTTTTTTTTTTTTTTTTTTTTTTTTTTTTTGGGGGGGGGGGGGGGGGGGGGGGGGGGGGGGGGTTTTTTTTTTTTTTTTTTTTTGTTTTTTGTTGGGGAGAGAGGGAGGAGAAGGCAGGAAGGAGGCTATTTTTGTTTTTCATTTTTTCTCCTGTGAATCGGAATTGGCATGTTTTGCCCAATTCCTATCTATCTTTGAAAACAACAGAATCAAAGGATGGTTGAGGTTGGAGGGGACCTCTGGAAATTATTTGCTTCAATCCCCCTACTCAGAGCAGAGTGCGCTGGAACAGATTACTCACATCCTTGTCCACCTGGGTCTTTGATATCTCCAGGCATGGAGACTGCACAACTCTTCTGGCCAACCTGTTTTCTTTTTCCCCAAAAAATTTTCATTCTGTTGAAACAGAATTTCCTTTATTTCAATTTGTGTCCATTGCCTCTTGTCCTTTTGCTGGGCACCACTGAGAAGAATATGGCTTTATCTTTTTTAATACCCCCCACCTTGAATCAGGCTGGTAAGATCCATACTGAGCCTTCTCTTTTCGAGGCTAAACAGCCCCGGTGCTTTGAGCTTCTCCTTTTATGACAGATGCTTCAATCCCATTGTCATTTTCCTAGTACTTCACTGCACTTGCTCCAACATGTCCATTTCTTTCTCTGTACTGGGTAACCCATAACTGGACCCAGGGCTGAACACAGGGAAGGAAACACCTTCCTCAACTTGCTGGTAACGTTTTTTCATAATGCTGTTGTTTGCTGCAAGGGCACATTGCTGGCTGATGGTTAACTTAGTGTCCACCAGGACACTCAGAGCAGCCCCCAGTCTGTCCTAATGTGTGTAGCTATTTGTTCCAAGATGCAGGACTTGCCTCTTCCCCTTGTTGAACTTCATAAGGTTCCTGTTGGGCCATGTCTCCAGTCTGTTGAGGTGCCTCTGAGTGGCAGCAGGCCCAGCTCTCAGCCACTCCTCCCAGTTCTGTAATGTGTGCAGACTTGCTTAGGGGGCATGCTGTCCCATTGTCCATTAATAAAGCTGTCAAACAGTATTGGCACTAGTGCCAAGCCCTGGGGTTGATCATTAGTGACTGGCCTTCAGGTGGACTTTGTACTGCTAATTGCAACCGTGTGAGCCCAGCAGCTGAGGCAGTTTTCAGTCCACCTCACTGTCCGCTTTCCTAGCCTGGACTGCATCAGTTTGCCTGTGAAGATGCTATGGGAGATGGTGTTAAAAGCCTTGTTGAAGCCAAGATAAACAACATTGCCTGCTTTCCACTCTTCCACCAAGCTAGTCATCTCATCATGAATGTCTGTCAGGTTGATTAAGTGTTATTTCCCCTTCATAACACCATCACAACCCTATTATTAAAGCTGTCTGCCTCCCCCTTCAGTAAAGCTGAAGTACAGCAGCTAAATAGCAAATCCAAAACTTCAGAATTTTACAGGTGAATTGCTCCCTGTGCTTCCCCACCAAATTATAGCCTCACGTTGGGTGTATTTTCTTGGGTCTTGAAGCAAGTAGGAGAGAAAAGGTCCTACGGCTATAGTCTTAGGCTACAATTGCTTATTTGGCTGTAATGGTATATTAAAGGACCTCTTGCCTTATAAGGCAAGGTATGGGCTGTCTTGCTCCTCCCATCACTGGCCCTGTGTTTTACCAGCACAGCTGTTGCTTTGTCAGTATGGGGAACTAAATCATTGAATAGATATGGCTGGAAAAATAAGCCAAGATGGGGTGGGACTCTTGGCTTTCAGATGGATCACTTCCCACTCTGATTTACCATACAGCTTCACAGGCAAATGAGCTAGTATCAGGAATGCAGGAAGAGAAGAGTGTGCAAGCCAGCACTGCTGCTGTTGACATTCATGTAGAAACAAAATGTGGAAGTATCTGCATCTTTTGAAGTGCTGCAGACAGTTTTTCCTTTCTGCCATTGTCAAGCATTCCTTACAAAAACCCACTTGCCTTTCAAATCTGATTGAGAAAGAAGTAATGATTCACAAACTTCTACTTTTGGGGGATTTAAAAAGATTGTGGAACAGTCCAGAGTGCTGTGCCATGGCATGCTAAGAGGATGTGTCGTTGGGGTTGCCACAGTTCTGCCTTCTCCCTTTCATTGGTGTAACTACTTCTGCCAGGTTTAGGGAGCAAGTGAAAGTGCAGAACCCTGGCAGCCCTGGCACAGGTTGACTCAGGCTGCTGTGGAGCAACATCTTGACTTAAATCAGTGGAGCAGTTTTTAGCTTAACAGGAGAATACAATATATGTCACCATGCTGACATATACTTCAGTTGCTTTATAGGATTAAAAGATTGCCCAAATACCAGCATTTGAACTGTACCGTTTTTGGCCTTGAGTGATGGATTGTAGGTGGTGGTTCACTGGACAAGCTTTGGAAAGATCAGTGAAAAACGCAACTAAATCTTTGCACATCCTGTGGTTTGTAGAGTATCTGTGAATTCCTATTTGCCAAGCATGCTTGCATTTTCTTTGGTTGGAGGTTTTAACATCTTTGTTGCTTTTCCTTCACAAGAGAACATGGTGGTAGAGATGTCTGTTTCCCTAGTGTTTTGATCAGGATCAAGGTGATGTGTTTTCTTTATAGCATAAATTAAAAGTTGGTGATAAGCTGAGTTGCATAAAGCGCTTATTCCTCTTCCCAAAATGCATTGCTAGTCTGTAAGGTTGATTGTTATTCTGTTTTTAGTATGTGTTTTATTTGCATAGTTATGTCTTAATAGCACATTTTTTAGTAATAAGAAATTAGAACCTTACTTGGATTATGGGTACCCTTGTTAGTTTGAGTTGAAGCTGCTCAGGCTTTTTCTAGCCAGCCTTCTATTTTGTCTCTAAGATAAACTAATGAACAAACTACCCTCTCCCCCCCCCCCTTTTAGACATCTGTGCTCATGCTCAGACTAATATTTTGCTTATCTGGACACTACTTAAGGGTCTCAGCATTTGATACAAAGAGACTATTGTGAAGGTTTGTACATGGGAGAATGTAAGTAGCAAACCACAGAAAATCAATCTACCTGTAGTGTGTTGAATTTGGCTATTACGGATGCATTCAACTATGCTGAAATAAGGAAAATGTTCTTTTGTTATTTGCAGAGAGACTCTGTGAAACCTGCTACAAAGAAAAAAAAAATAGGTGGGAAAAAGGTCAACAGAAAATCAGACAGTAGAGGAAGTGGAAGAGAACATGCAATCCCTAAATTTGCCTGGAAGTCAGGTTTTCTTTTTAATTAGTTGGTATTCAGTTAGCTTAATTTGGCTGTTAATCTTGGTCAGAGCTGTTACTTGGAAGGTGTTGGAGCTGCTACATGGCTCACTGTGGAAGGGGTGAAGCTGTCAATGACAGCATCAGCTTGAAGAGAAGCGATGAGAAGCAGCAGCATGGGAAGATGATAATATTTTCTTTTAATAATGTACTTAACCATCCTGAAACGCCCTTCCCCCCAAAGCTAGCGTACCATGTGACTCCTGTGTATTCTGTTGTACACAGTAGAATGAAAGTAAACAATTAAAAAAGGCTTTATCCACATAAAATACGAATCATGTGCACATTTATAATTCCTTTCACTCTACTTGTATTTGCAGTAGTGAGGTGAGGTCAAAGCAGTGGAAGGAAATGTATTGAATCTTCATTCTGGTACCAGAAGTATGAAAGTGTAGACCAGAAGCTGTTACAGTAGGAACATATAGCCAAAGCGCTCTTTTTTTTTTTTTCTTTTTTTTTCTTTTTTTTTTTTTCTCCCCGCCTCCCCAGGTTCTCTCTCAGGTAAATATTGGTTCATCACTTCCAATTTTGTGGTTTGGCCAACCCCACTACGTTTTAGCTGAGATACCTGGACACGAGTTGGATATAAACCCTGTGCTAGCAGTCAAGAATGCACCATTGGTGACTGATGTGCATATGACTTTGAACATGCCCTTGCTGTCCACTGGACCTTCTCTGAGAATTTTTTTTCTTTTTGGGGGAGTTAGAGTATGATTTCAAATATTCACTGTAGAAAATTGCAGCTGTTAGTGAGTGTCTTGCTTGATATAGCACCAGCAATTACTCCTTACAGGTAAGTATGTTTTTTTAATTTTTATGTGTTGCTATGTTAGATTTGCCTGCACAAGAGTCTCTTAACAGAAGTGCATTGACTTTTTTAGATAAAGAGACAAAGATGATGATGTGCTGTTATTTATCCCTTTTTTTTTTTTATCTTGCTCTCATACAATGAGCAGCCAAGGAGAATACAGCCTGAAAGCTTTTAAAATTTTCCACAAAGGTTCATTTGAAAGAATGCAGTGGCTACTAAATTGGTTCTTTATGTGTTGATCATAAGAGATGGCACATGCACTATCTTCACTGCTTGCTGCAGCAATCCATTCACTGCTTCTACTGTCTCCTCCTGTAGAGGAAGAACAATAGTGAGGAGAAACATCAAGACTACGTTTTCTCTCTCATAGTATTCTAGTTCTTATTCCTCTCACTTTGCTCTACTGGCCTGCAGAGAGCAGTGGATCCCTTGGGAGTCTTGTTAAGTTGTATGAAGTGCTTGACTGGGTCCTTCAGTGAGAACTAACAGGACAATTTTTCTGCCCCATATCCTTTCCTCTCTGACTTTCCAAGCACAACAGCTGAAACAACTATCGGTCAAACTCCTGATAAAGCTAGGGAATAGGAAGGTAAACCTGTTTGAAGTACTATAATATTGATTAAATCAAAGATAAAACTGGAGTTTCATAGGTGCGATCAGAGTTAACGCAGATAACAGCTGAGGCTCGCTGTCAGTTTGCTCAAGTTAGTGATCTGTTATCATGGCATTTTGAAGTGTGGAAGACAGAAGATGGAGCCCTTGGCTCTCACACCCTACATGATGTTCTTAACAGAAGGTAAATCTAACAAAATTAGCGGTTCTAGGTCATTTGGGATACAGGGAATATTTGCGTAGGCAAGGGTTAGCAATTCTTGGATTACAGTGGGCTTTCTGAAATTGCATAGCTAGTTATGGTATGAGTGCAGATCTTTCCTTACCTCATTACATTTTGCAGTGCTAATTGATATCATTGTAGATTTAAATACATAACATTGGCAACATGGTCAGTGAAATGTCCTTGATTCTGGAATGAGTGTTACCTGTTTTGGATGTGGGGGAACAAATGAACTGTGTCTGTAATCTTCTTGGCCATGATGCAAATTTTATGTCTTTATTTCATGTATGTATTGATCCAGTACAAGGTGCTATAGTTGCGTAAGGGAATCATATTGCGCTAATACGTTTGCGTGTGCATGTTTTAAACTATGTAAGTATATTTCTGGTCATTTTGGCTAGGTAATTTTTGTATGTTTAAAATTAAACAAATCAAATATGTGTGCAGTTATTTAAAAAGGGAGAATAGTTCTAATTCTATAGCGCAAAAATCTTTCCTGCCTTATGCTAGAAAATGAAATGCTGTAGTATAAGCAAAATGCACTGTTTCAAAATGTATAAATAACAAAACTCTAGCTTAAAAGCATTAGGCCCTTTTCCATTATGCAATATGCAGCTCAGTTTTTATATAATTAACAGAATAACTAGCATATGGTGGAACACAATAATTACACTTTTAAACATGCATGCTTGAATAGAAAACCTCATTAATAAAACCGCTTTTCTAAAAATACAAAACTATTTTACCATACCTCTTGGAAAGTTCCTAACAGATGTCAGTGCAGTGATTAATTTGGTAATACAGTGCTGTAGCTAAGGCTCTGTCAAATTGTTTTGCAGCAATTACAGTGGTTTGAACGTTTGGGGGTTTTTTGTTTGTTGTTTTTTTTTTTTCTTTTTCCCCAGCTCTGAACATAAATCTGAACTCTCCTTCTTGGCTGCAGTCTCCCTACTTATGATCTTCTTTCTGGTTCAAAGAAGATGCTCCCTGGTTTCAAAAATTGCTATGGCACTCGGGCTCCTGGGAGTCTACAGTTACCGGGCAGCTATTGGAAATGTCATATTTCCATGGCAACATGACAGCAAAGATATTTCAAAGTAAGTTAATCAACAGATATGTAAATCTATTTCTAGAGAGGTGTTAACTTTGGATATCAGGGGATGAGGTGGGAGGGGACGTTATGTCTAGGCTGGAATCACATTCTTATGAATAAAACTCTATTTTGTAGGTGGCCTGCACTCAGTTTTTGTGGTGTGTGCATAATTTTGAGCCCCATGAATTGTCTTTCAACTGTGACAGATCAGAAGCCAGTCAGATAAGAATTAATATCAGGAAAATCTAATAGTCATACCCTGTATTTTTGCTACAAAGAAACCCCAAATGGACCACCTCCTCTTGCTTTAGATGGACTTGCCACGTTTAGCAGAGCGCATGCCAAGCTAATTTAGCTACTTCCTAGTTTTGAAAAATGCTTAGGCGGTAATTGGGAGAGTTGCTTTTCCATATCTTTCTTTTGCAGGTGAGCGTTCTGTAATGTATGGCCTTTCAAGATGTAACCAAATCCTTCTGGAGGTCTAGGCTGTGCTGCACAATGCATACTAAGGATTTTTATGTGGATGTTAAATTTCTTATGGTCTGCAGCTGTAAGGGAGTTATTAGCTCTTTCACCAATAGCTACTTTTGGAATGTAGCTAAGTGGCTTTAGTTTTCTTATGGTACTTTCTACTGTTGGATTGTACCTGGATCTGCAGCCTCAAGTTTTTCTAAATGTCAGAGAGCTGTGGAAAACTTCCAGAATCAGTTAGGACATTTAATGAGGAGGAAATGGTCATGGAAGAGAAGTTGTACAACAATTGTCTTCTGGATGTAATAAACTTTCTCTTGCACTCATTTTGAATTTGGTACGGATGCCAGTAGTTTCTGTTGGAGCTTCTTAATCAGGGGCCAGAGATTAACAAGATGTGCAAGATGGAAAAAACACTGCAGGAGAAGATCTTAGGACATACAGAAGATCAGATTTGCTAAAGAGACGTGTTTTACAACAAATATTTTTATGTATGTATATCTAGATATATTTACATACATTCCATCTTTGCAAATACTGAAGATAATTCCAGTTGCATACTAGTGTTAACAGTTTGTGCTAGTTCTGCTGGATGCAAAAGTAATGGTAATCTTTATTTAGTCTGCAGAATTTGGCTCTGTATTTGAAACATGCCTGATTTCTGAGTTTAACCTCTAGTTTTGCTTTGTGTTTGAGTAAAATCCTTAGAGAAGAGTACTGTCCTTGCAATAAGAAGAAAAATATTGCAGTGTGGGACAGAACATTAAATACAGCAATTGAACCACAAATAAAATGTGACTGGAGAAATAAGTGGAGTACTTAAATACTAAAGGCAAAGCATTTGCTGGGAACTTGTTCATTGTATAGTCAGCATATTGATCATAATTATAATCACAAGGAAGAGATGAGTTTTTTGTGTTATTTCACCCTAAATAAATAGTGAACATGGTTATTTGCTTAAATTATGTTAGGCCTTTATATATCTCTGATTATATACTGTTTTAAAAGTTACTGTCATGTTTAAAAGCTTTATACCCTTTAGATCCTCTGTGTAAGCTGTTCGGTGAAAGCTGGTAGAGTTAGCAAATGCAAGTTCTGGCCTTTGTGTTGGCATGTGTTCTGCACCTGGGGTGGGAAGTGTAGTACAGGGCTCTTTCTGGATCTCAGTAAGAAAGGACCAACAACAAATGTGTAACAAAATAGCTGTTATAAGAAGAGTAAAAAGAGGAATATAGTTAGTGAGTGCCTTCAGGTGCTAGGAACCCTGTTTTTGTGCAGCATCAGACAAACCCCAGTGAATCTTCCCATTGCATGCTGTGGCACACAGGTCGCATCAATGGAGAGGTTCTGCCTCCCTCCCATACCATGGTGCCTTCTATTTTGTGTAAAAGAAAAAAAAACAAACAAACCAAAACAAACCCATGTGTCTACTCCTGCCAGGTCAGAATATTATCTCTGTCATAACACCCACCAGTGCATGCCACAGGCCAGCACAGGGGTTCCAGCATGGTCCCTTGCAGCGGCTACTCATGCTAACATGTGGGCTTCTCAAGCCTAAAGTACAAGGCCTAATAGAGCAGACATGGTTTGCCCAAGATCACTAACTCTTCAAACACGTTGTCTTTGGCAAGGCTCACAATACGGCATGTCAAAAAACATGGCAGACATGTTATTAGTTTTCAGATGTTAGCTGATGTGTTGACATAGTGATCCTAGCTCATCTTTATTTGATGGCTGATAAATGGTAAAAGCCTATTTAAAATGCTGCCAGGAACAAAACCAGGACTTTCTTTTAAATGTGTCTAGAGGTATCTTTAGTGTATTCATGACATCGAATAGCTCCAGATCCAGCTGCAAGGTAGACGTAATTTTGTGTAATATGAGAAAAAGTGTAGGCAGCCACAGCATTTTTCATGCATAATGCTTTCTTCTGTAAGATGGAGAATCTTTGCTCTGAAACACCCCCTCTCTGTACCCTCTACTAATGATAAGTGTTTTCTCTGAATGTGACAACTGCTGTGAGGTGGATGAGGGAGAAGAGGTAATTGAAGTGTGTCCCGTCTTCTATGGCTTAGACTGAGATAACCTCTAAATTAAAAAATGCAAGGAAGTAATTTGGCCTTCCATTTTCCTCAGAGTTCTTTTTAAAAATGATATGTCGTGTAATGAAAAAGATAAGTGTATACCATACTTACACAAACAAAATAGTAGTACTGCATTTGCCGAGAAATTTTTTTTTTGTTTGAATTTCCATCAACCAGTTAATTTCAGTTTTCACTTAACTCGTTTAATAGTGACAAATACCCAAAGTTATTTCCTAAAGTTTTACTTCTAAGTCACATGAATATATTTGAATATTTTATGGTAATAATTACATCAGAATTACCAGAGATACTGAAATAGGGCACAGAATTTCTGCATTAGCCAGAAACACAGGAACACTCTGAACTTTACTGTTTGGGTTTTTTTTTTTTTCGCTAAAGGAAAAAGCCAGTGGACCTTACAGGGGATTTACAAAGGCTTGCTATTTAAGGGAATAAAATAGCAAAGCCCCTTTGCATAGACCATTAGGTATGAGTTTGAACCTTTGAAAGCTAAACTGCACTGCATTCATGTTTAGGAAGGCCACATCACTATCATGTGGTGGTTTTGCCTTTTTTCTTAGTTCTGTTGGTGCAAAAAGAAAACTGAACATGTAAATACTGTTGCTTATTATTTCTGCTCTTAGTTTTTAGCTCTCTCTTCTGTATGTGGAAAAGAAAGATTGATTTCAAGCTCATTTGTTAGTAATTGTTTGAGAAGGAAGGTGACATTCCAAAGACTGAAAAAAATACATAAATTTTAAAGGAGAAATTTATTTTTAGAAATTTTGACTTGTGGTGTTTTCTGTGGTCAGCTAGTTACACTAGTTACACGAAGTGTAACTATGCTTTTACTATTTTTAGTGTCATGGTCTAATCCTCCAAATAGTATTAAGTCCAGATGATTAAGAATCCTCCATTCTGAGTGAATTATATTTGTAGGAGACCATGTTCATTCACCACTCATGTATAAAGTGACTGGTAATCCCTAAGGATAGGGTATATTAAATTATGGATAAAGTGTGTAAATAATGTGTATTTTTATCTTTTGCCAAATAAAAAAATAGATTTATAACTACAAATTTGTTAATATGCTCATTTGTTGAGATCATTGGATTATTACTATAGCTTAGCTCACACTAACATGATCTGTGACTTTTTTGGCCAGTAAACATAAGAATATCCGTGCATTCTGATGGATATCTGCTTTCACCTTCTTTGTTCCTTGGGCCTTGCGCTTCTAGAATAGCAGGTCACAGTTTTTAAGATTACTGGACCTTGTCCTTGTCAGCTTTTTGGATGAGATGCTGTGCATTCTTCAGAAGCTGACTTTCCCTGGAAATGAAGAGGCCAATGAATTTATAGGTCTAATGAACATAGCAGTAAATGCTAATTACACTTACTACTTAAAACATTCATTTTTTCATAATGGGATTGCTTAGGGATTTGAAAAACATGTACAGTTACAAGGAAAAAAAGTGCTAATATAAACCAGCATTTCCGTATATCTGCAGGTGAGAAAATGTCTGAAGTATGCAGAAATTTCGGACTGAAATAAGGATCTTCAAATACTAACACTGTCTTTTTGGTTGGCTAAAAAGAAATATATGTTTGTGTGAATGAATTGTGAAAAATCACTGAATAGCTTAAAGGGAATAGTAATTTTTAAGTCAATTTAATTCCTGAAATAAAGTTTCCATATCACTCTAAGAAGTATTTTTTGGGAAATTCATTATGCTATATAAAAGGCATACTTCTATGACTATGGATCTAGACCTTGAATAGTCATAGCATAAATTTATTTTTGTTACATTCATTGACATATAATTTTATTTTTGTATTTTAAGTTCGTTTTTAGCACAAGCTGTTTTCTTTTTTAAAGTTGATTTGGGGGTTTTGTAATTTAAGTATGAACCATTTTTAGAGTTCTTATATTTGAGAAAGCTCTCTCATGAAATTGGCCAGTACTAGCCTTAGAATTTAACCTGTTTGGCAGAATTGCATTGGTCTTGCACCTCTCTTGAAAGACTTTTTGACCTGTGAAACAGATTTTAATAAGTAGCTAATCTTTCTGTTTTATTTATTAATTATGATTACTTTTTTTTCTTAATTTCCTCTTTAGGGGGATTACTGAAGCTCGTTTTGTTTATGTCTTTGTTCTTGGCATAGTCTTCACTGGCACTAAAGATTTACTAAAGTCACAGGTTATTTCTGCAGACTCCAGCGTGAAGAGTACAGGATTATGGGAAGTGTATAGTGGATTGGTTCTACTAGCAGCCCTTCTATTTAGACCTCACAATTTACCAGTCTTGGTGTTTTGTCTGCTGATTCAGACAATGATGACAAGATATATCTGGAGACCTTTGAAATTTGATGCAGCACAGATTACTATCATGCACTACTGGTTTGGCCAAGCTTTCTTCTATTTTCAGGTAAGCTGAATACTCTCCCTGCTACAGGGGTGGGAGGGGGAGTAGTTTTCAGAAGAAATATTGTCCTTTGTGAGTAAAATACCAACTACATCTCAGAGAGGAAGAGTTTACTGAATTCTCAGAAGGGTTTAGTTTCTAACTGTATTATTAATGTTCTGTTTTCAGAATCAGGGGTTTGGGTGCCTAACTAAAGAAGGACATTGAGGTGCTGGAGCGTGTCCAAAGAAGGGCAACGAAGCTGGTGAAGGGTCTGGAGCACAAGTCTTATGAGGAGCGACTGAGGGAACTGGGGTTGTTTAGTCTGGAGAAAAGAGGCTGAGGGGAGACCTTATTGCTCTCTACAACTACCTGAAAGGAGGTTGTAGTGAGGTGGGGGTCGGTCTCTTCTCCCAGGTAGCAAGCAATAGGACAAGAGGAAATGTCCTCAAGTTGTGCAAGGGGAGGTTTAGATTGGATATTAGAAAAAATTTCTTCACCGAAAGGGTTGTCAAGCACTGGAACAGGCTGCCCAGGGAAGTGCTTGAGTCCCCATCCCTGGAGGTATTTTAAAAGATGTGTACATGTGGTGCTTAGGGACATGGTTTCATGGTGGACTTGGCGGTGCTAGGTTAATGGTTGGACTTGACGATCTTAAAGGTCTTTTCCAACCTAAATGATTCTGTGATTCTATGAAAGATGCATACCCTGATAACTTATCCTCAATATAGATTTCTGAAAGTGTTAAAAATATTGGATACCTATATGAGGGGTGATTTTGGTCTGTTAGTGGGCCTCCTAAGTACTTTTCTGGTGATAACAAATTTAAAAATTTCAGCTGAGTTGATTAATACCAATAAAAGGCAGATGGCTTTTTGTCCCTGATTCTTGACGCTCACAGAACCTTTGGTAGCATCACAATAGGTGTACATACAGTTTAAGACTGAAGAGATGTTCTGTGACAAGTTAATGTCTCTTATGAGAATCAGAACTAATTGCCATTCTTATATATCAAACAGTATCTTCTTTTCTGAGGAGCCTTACTAATTTCAATAACATAGTTCTCTGCATTGCAAATAAGGTTGCAATTCCACAGAACCTTTCCTTAGCATTGAAGCAGGAGAGGTTCTTTCAACTTCTCATAATACTGGAAACTTAGTGTAGCAGACTGTCTTTAAGAGGACGTTTGTTAAGCTGGGAATCGGGTTGTTTCTGGTTTAGGAGGAGAGGCTTTCTGATCTGTTGCAAAATTTCAAGGTGAGATCTGCGTTGGCTTTACGTTTGAGGCATGGCTGAGGATGTTAAAACTGTTGTCAAGCTTAGGGTACTTTATATTGTGTTTCTGATCCCGTTTAGTCCTGACTGAGCATTGGCTTCGCTTTGCTTTGAGGGTACATGTCAGGATAGGGAATTGCTGATGGGGATAAAATCGTTGTGATTCATCCATTCCTACCCAGTTTTCCTGCTCAGAGGACATAACATTTCTTGTTTGAATGGCTTTTGCATGTCTCGAATGTTACTGTTCAGGCAGCCAGCTCTGATTATGGCCTTCTGAGAGCAGCCCTTAGTGGCGTTGGCAAGAGGCTGAAGGGATGGCCCTCTCAGTACTGAGGTACCAAGCAAAAGCAGCTGCCAGAAGTTTAATGGTGGGTAGGCTGGCAAGAAAATCATAATAAAGAATAGTTTGAATGTTTTCATAAAGCACCCATTTTCAGTGATGATGAATTCTTGGTACAGTTGGCTGAGAATTTCACAGAACCACCAAATCACAGAAGAGTTGAGGCTGGAAGGCGCTTCTGGAGATCATTCAGTCCAACTTCCCTCTGTCCAACGCAGGTCAACCAGATCAGGTTGGTCTGGACCATGTCCAGTCCAATTTTAAATACTTGCAAGGATAAAGACTCTGCAACCTCTCTGGGCAGTTGGACCCAGTGCTTGACCACCCTAGCCAGTAAAAAAGCTTTTTCTGGTGTTTAAACAGAACATCTTGTATTTCAGTTTGTGTTCATTGCTTTTCATTGTTTTGCTAGTCACTACTGAGTGACTGAGAAGGTCAGAGTCTGGCTGTGTTGTCTTTACTCCCCCTCATCAGGTGTTTATACACATCGTTATGACCCTTGCTGAGCTTTCTCCTCTTGAGAGTAAACAGACCCAGCTCTTTCAGACAGATGGTTGTTCTCATCATCTTTGTAGTTCTTCAGTGGATTTTCTCCAGTACATCCATGTCTGTCTTGTGCTGGGGAGCCCAGAACTGGATCCAGGAGCCTAGATGTGATCTCACCACTGCTTAGTAGAGGGAATGGAGCATCTCCCTCAACCGGCTAGTGATGCTCTCCCTAATGCAGTCCCAGGCACTGTTGGTCTTTGCACAAAGGGCAAACAACTGGCTGATAGACAACGTAGTGTGCACCAAGACCCCCATGTCCATCTCTGTCAAGCTGCTTTCCATATGGTTAGCCCCTAGCCTGACCCAGGGCATGGATTTATTCCTCCCCAAGTGCTGGATTTGACATTCCCCTGTGTTTCCCTTTGAAATTTGACATTTCCCTTCTTGAGTTTCTTGTCAGCCCATTTCTCTAGCCTGTTGAGGTGCAGCAGACCCATCTACTGTATCAACCACTCCTCCCAGTTCTGTAATGTGAGCAGACTTGCCGAGGGGGCATTCTGTCCCGTTGTCCAGGTCATTAATGAAGATGTTAAACAGTATCAGCCCCAGTGTCAGGCCCTGGGATTGATCACTAGTTACTGGCCTCCAGGTGGACTTTGTGCTGCTGATTGCAACCGCGTGAGCCCCGCAGCTGAGGCAGTTTTCAGTCCACCTCACTGTCCACTTTCCTAGCCTGGACTGCATCAGTTTGCCTGTGAGGATGTTATGGGAGATGGTGTTAAAAGCCTTCTTGTGAGGTGAAAGTCCATTAGATACATGCCCATGTATCTTCAGGCCAATATGGTATGATGGAATAGAAAATAAGGACTTTCTGAAATAATACATTTGCTGTGAAAGTGTAATTGGACAGGTTAAATTTTCTGTCTTCTCTGATCTGAGTGCTGCAAAAAATTGGGGAATAACTTTTCTGAAAGAATTCCCATGAACTTTGGAAAACACGTTCACCTGCTTCAGAAATAAGCTATCAGAGGCTATGATGAGCATGATACCTCTTTCCATCTGATTATGCTATGCCAAAGGTTTTTTTCTATACCAATAAAAATGTATTTATTCAAGACCAGTAAAAAGTAACAGTTAGATCTGATAGCACGTGTTGGGGTTTTTTTTAGTGGTTTTATACTGGTGTTAGTAGGAAGATAGAAACATGTTTTAAGATTTTTCTTTTTCTTCTTAATGACTAATTTTTTGCACTTTCAGCTACCCTTGCAATTGAGGAATTTTTTGGTTTTTAGAGGACTGGAAAAAGTGATTTCCATTTTAACTGGCTGCACATTGTGTTGTTGGATATCCTGCATTTTCAGGGCATCCACCCACGCCTCATCACACCCCGCTGGTAATTTTGACATTTCTTCTAGATGTGTTTCCTTTGGAAGTAATAACTTCCAGCATGATACAGATTTCAGCAAACTTGAGGATATTTTAAAAATTAGCTCTGACAAGGGAGTCTCTTGCACATAGACGTGCTGCTGAATCACAGCATCCAAAGCTCAGAAAGGAGAAATTCTCCATTGCTTTGTTGTGAGCCAGATTGCTTGGTTGGTCTTTGTGCACTCCTGTCACTCTAAGATCTAAAGAATGAAGTGTGATAATTACTTATCAAAACTTCTGGTAGAAGCAAACTAAAGCTTTTTTTCCCCAATGTCGTTGCCCATGCTGGTTTTTTATTAAGTCTGAGATACGAAACAGAGCAGAACCAGACAAGAAGCTGCCTTTTTGTGTCACATCACATGTCTGTAAACTCTAGCTTTGAAGAGATTCTTCTGAATTTAGCAACAGCTTAGCAAAAAATTTTGACAAATTCTCTCTTTAGCACAGGCCCCTTTGAAAAATGTGTCCATTTCTGAAGAACTCACCAACAGTCTTTTGCAGATTTTTTTGGCTGTCTACTTGGAAAACCAAGGTGTGTGCCTATTCAGCGTGCCCAAGGCAGAATAAAATGACAAATGAATTGTAATAGAACAGGAGGGATTTTTAGAAAGAACATTTTTTATTGTGGCCTATTTATCTGTTTTTCTCTATTTACCTCTATTTCTCTATTTTTTCTATTTTCAAAACACCCTAGAGATGTTTCAAAAATAGAGATCAATTCTGCTAAGGGAAAAAATGTTTATAAGAGTCAAGACAGATAGAATTTTCCTCCACTCCCCACTCCTTAGAGAACAAGTTTTCAGTTCTCTTTTTAAAAAGCTGTAAGTACATTTACATTAGATGCCCTTTCTAGGATGGAGATTAAGAGTTTGACCAACATACCACTCTTCAGATGTTAGCTTTGTTCTTTTATTCTCTGGTGGAAAAACTGTTCTGCAGGTATGGAAAGGAACAAATTGAATCATACAAACGCGAAGAGGTTGGTTTTTTGCCCTTCACAATTGAAAGCAATTATCTGATGTGCAAAATATTAGTGTAGAAAAGTAGAATGGTCAAGTTGGTAGCTCATAAAATTACAGATGCTACAAAGGTCCCTAAAAATCTAATTAATGCTCTCTCTTCAATTGGTAAATTTCTCCCAATTTCTTCTGAGAATAGGTTTTCCTGTCTGGGACTCTAGATGCAAAGATGGAAGTAACTTCTTCCAGAAACTATGTTTAATTTCATGCTCTTTGTGTGTAGGTCTGCTCAGTATGTAGCATTCTGATCTTCACCATCGGGGAAAATGAAAAACCTGACAACCTACAAAACCCACTTCTTCATTAATTATTTTTCTTGGATGTATTTAAGTTTCTCCTTCCCTTTCCTTTGAGTACAGAGTCTAGAGGATGAATGACTTGTTGCAAGGGAAAAACTGCTCGGTGTGTGTAGCTTAAAATCAGGATTGAAGTGTTTTATTGATTTACTCATGACACATAATTAACTGGCAATCATATAT